GAATGATGGGTCTCACAAAAGGAACTGAATTCTTGAGAATGCCCATCAATCTCCTACTGCCTTTGAAGTCAGTATTGGGTCTCCTCATCCAGAAGTGCACCTCCACAGTTACCGGCACGCCAGTAGGGAACACCACTCCACTGGCTGTAGCTGGAACAAGATCTTTCACTGCTTGCCTGAATGATTGCTTCTCTTTACTTCCAGGATGGTACAGACCATACTTGCCCAACCTCATCCTCTTCTCAGGCAATGGCTTGCCTGGGACTTCAAAGCTGACCCTCACGGACTCTTCTGTCAAGTCAACCACTTCCGGCATGGCTGCTTTGTTGTGATGGTTGCACAAACATGTTCAGTCTGTTTTGGGATAACACCAAACAGCCTTTGGAGATCTTCTGCAGCTACAGAGGAGCCATTCGGTGGGGTTGGGATGACTTTTATTGTGCATTCAAAATGTTTGCTGAAAGAATGGGATAACTTCCCACAGCCACAACACTGCATGGCACTGCATGGCACTAGCAAAGGAAAGTTTGCCAGAAGGCTCTTCGGCAGCACTCAACTGCCTGGGAAGGAACAGTGTGGAACATCTCTGCTGAGAGATCCTGTTCTTTTCGGTGATGTTGGGGAATGCCGGGACTATGTATTTAAGGGGGGGTGGAGCATGCATAGACAGGCTATGCTGGCAGCATAAGTACAAGCTGCCGGTGCTCTATCAAGCTCCCTGGCTTGGTCCCTGACTTGGAGCCAAAGCACACCGGTTATATTATATCTACATGATGAATACCTTAAAAACCAGAATGTCACCCCAACTGTTACTAGAGCCACCTTCCACGTACTGGGCCTTTGTATGTGGTGGCCATCCACATACGAGCCCTCCAGCCATGTGCAACGCAAAGAGAGGGTGAGTCAGGCGTGAGAGCAAATCACGCAGAAGGAGTCACGGTTACACAACAACACGGGAGTTAGTCGAAAGAATCAAATGAAGAAAAGAATCCCGTCAAGTAAAAGGGACTGGAGACTTACAGTTCGATCGACAACCACAACACCAACCATCACCATGACGACGAACGGAACCAACTCAAGACACCAAGAAGCAGTCGAATAGCACCTGCAAGAACAGAGATACACAATGGTGAGACAAAAGCGCAGGATGAACAGAAGAAGAGAGGGAACAAGACGAACCAGTAGTAGTCAAAGATGGTGGATGTGATGGAGATAGCAGTGGCAACTGCGATGGAGATAATAGAATGGGCTGCCACGAAGCAAATGACACGGAGAGGCTCCGTGAAGGCTAATTCGAAAAGAAGGTAATGATTACTCAACATATTCAAGTAAGTATACTCGTCGGATGGGCATTGGAAGCAGAGCAAGGGGATACTTCCACAAAAATTCTTTGGAACGTTCCAACATCATTTCGAAAATTCGTGAAATGGCAACTCCAAGTAGAACGTAGAGTAAAATAGAAATGTAAACGAACAAAGCAACAAAAGTGTTAGTGTAATACAAATGCCCAGCAAACAAGGCAATGAACAACGGAGGAAATAGTGGCAATGCATACCCTCCGTACTACTGGCATCCACAGTATGGGTACGGTGGGTATCAACGACCAAATCCAGTAAATGCAAGGAACAGTCACCAAAACAGCCCCACAGAGAGCTCCAATCGAATGATACAGAACCGTACGCAAAGGGAACCAGCTGCAAAGAAGATGAAAACCAATTACACCATGTTCCAGTTGGATGGGTCATGTAAACCATGCGCCACAATAGACCAAGCACGACAACACCTCCTGGAAAGATTCGGAGGATATTTTCAAGAAGCACAGTGTATAATGGCAGATGGCACCCGACCTGGAGTGTGGAAATTCCATTGCAGAGCCACGCCAACAATAGGAGGGGCTCAAGTCAAATGCAAGTGGAGGGCACAGATCAAGTTAGATTCAATACTCCAAAACAAGCAATACAGAATTTACACCAAGTCATGTTCTTACGAACACAACCATCCAAGGAATCCATCACCACAGCTCCCCTGCGACCAACATGGATTCCCACCATGCATCAGGAATGTCATCAATCAATACATCCAGTTCGAAGAAGCAAATAGAAACAGGGGCATAATGAAAATAAAAGGAGAGGAAGTAACAAGAGCAATCACGACATCAGTGGAGAATGCAAGAAGAAATGACAATGCAGACACCGAAATCTTGGCAAACCACGCCTTCTGGATCCATGGAGAATTCAAAGAAAGGCTCAAGTGCATGGTGCGAAACCACCTCAATCACCGAAAGATGTCTTACCTCAAGACAGTGCTGGGGGAAGACCACCGATTGATCACGAACGATTCACTGATCAAAGTGCTGGCCAAGTGGCAGTTATGTGTTCCCACGAGCTACAAACAGAGAAGCTCCTTCCAATCGGCAGACGAACTGGCAAGTGAGCTACAAGCAGAAGCAGACGACATGTATATTGTAGATCTTACGTACGGACCAGTCTTCGAAAGGTTCAAAGGAACGCTCAATCTCTCCACAGAAAAGAAGCAGCAAGAATTCTCCAGGATGATGGAACAGTCATACATGGCATTCTCCCCCACGAGCCTTTACATGTTGATGCGTCTAGCACAACGAAAGAAACTTACAAGACAGATTTGCTCAGACGGTACCGGTGGCACATGTGTTGATATGAGTACACTTATTGTAATGGGAGCATTGTCGGTCAAAGAAAGATCATCTCAATCCAACGTAACATCGTCCTTGAGACCCATCTGCTACTTGCATGTTGGCAGTGAGAGATATTATCCGTACTGTCTCATGCTGTACGTACTTCGAGACCTGTGTAACAAGTTGTTTGGGATTCCATTCGAACTCGATTGGGGAACTTCAGATCATGCGGACGTTTTCATCAAGGCCCACAAGCAATTCAACAGGTACCCAGATATATGTGACCCCGGAAGAAAGCATCTCAATCTGCTTAAGGAAACGGTGGAAAGAACAGAATCCATTGAGTTGAAGACGCATTTGGAACCTGATGGAGTTAAAAGTACGGTGATGTCAAGGGATCCGACTGAAGCGGTACCAACTTACACTGGATCATTGGAACTTGGAGCGATACCCAGTTCAACAAAAGCCCCCCAATCGCCAATCGATTGGCATGCATGGTGGCGAACTGTTAGGAGCCCCGACAGTCACAAGGCTGTTACCCTTTGTTGGTTCCATGTGACGCAGCACTTTGCCAAGAACGATGGCTTCGTACAAAGGGTGAAGAAACGGCACCTGGTGAAGGACAAAATTAATGGGCAGAGGGCCCTCTTTTACAAGCACATCACTCTGATTCATCACTCGAAGTCGTACCTGCAGAGAGCGAGAGTAACAGAGCTGATCATCCGACATTGGATTGAAGACTTGGGTGAAACCGAAGCTGCATTGCTGTTTTTCAAGTCCTACTGTTCCAGCCCGTACTGGAATATCAACTACAACTGTACCATGCAAATTGGAGTGCAAGTACACAACTGCAGTAATGAGAGCAACAACCTCCACAGCATCAAGGGAGCGAATGCTCCTGTGGAATCGAATGTGTCACATCCACGTTTCCTGGTGGACACTCTCCCAAGTCTTCTTTCACGAGATGCCGAAAATCGACATGACGATTGCACCATCCAGATACCCAAAAGCTGCTCAACTATCGCGCTTGTTGTATCAAGTTTCATTGGCCCAAATGACTTTCACACTATCAGTTCGCGAAATGGCCAACAGCCATCATGGATCTTCAACATTGGATACATGATTGGAGTTCCCCTTTCCTCTGGTCGATTATCTCTTATCAGATCCTCCCTGCATGGAGAAGATGAGTCTTTTTTGGATCTTTATTCGGAGTTCTGGACAGGCGCAGATACAGCAAGGAAGATGGTGTCAGTAACAAGGACAACGTGCATGCTAACCAGACGTTTGGATGGCTCAGTGGTTGGAGATTGTGAAGATTGTGTAAAGCGACTCGGGTTTAACTGCCCAGCAGCAGCATACCTTCGCAACAAATTTGGTCTGCTCACAGTTTCACTTGAAGAAAGAAGGAAGGTGATGTGCAACACAAGGAAAAGAGGATATAAGGCTCAGGCACGGGGTCATCGCATGGGTATGTATGAAGGCGGCCTTCTCCATAATGGACGAGTCTACCGACAAACGCAGAAGATGCTGGAGAGTGATGTGGCATTCTTCGAAACTTTGAACAGAGAACAGACTATGTCAGTGGTCGAGTACCTTGGTTTGTCCTTATCTGATGATCGAAGACGCATCCTGTCAACTGATTCGGCTCCATCATTCGCCAAAGAGAGGCAGCTTTGTCTGGATGAGATTGTTGATTTCTACCAAAATCCATCAGATTATAGAGTCTTGCGCAAGAAGCAGCATCATGTCAGGATGTCTACCATGGCAGGAGAGGATGCTGATATCACCCAGGCGCCTGTTAGCAAGAAAGGAAAGTGTTGATCCATGACCAAATTGTGAGCTGTTGAGTTTGTTTGCGCAGACTCCTGTAGGAACGTACTTTTGTGTTCTGTAGAGGTACCCCACCAGGCAGAACAGTCGTCGATATCAGGAATGGTTGACTGTTGTCCAGTAGTCGGTACAATCTTTTTCTGTGCCTTCTTTCGCGTATTCCTTGCGGTGAACGGGCTTGCCTTAATAATGACCTTCGAGTCTGTAGAGCCTTTTACTCTTTCCCGGAACGACATTTGTGTTGCCTAACTGAAAGCCATGCAGCCGACAACACGATTGCGTCCAATAGGTTGATTGTTGGCAGCACCCTTTATTTCATTTTTCGAGCTTGCCTCATTCCAGAACGGTCCATTATTGCTATCTGTTGCTCCATTGCCTTAGATTGTTGCAGTTCCAGCTACCATGTCGGACAAACCACCTGGCAAGAAACCACCTTCCAAGAAGAATCCGTATGTCAAGAAGAAGACCAGCCAGCGTCCTTTGGCCCGTATGAGTACGGCTGGCCGCATGGAAGACAAGATGAAAGAGCATCAGAAAAAGTACCAGATGAACCAGTCACGTTATGCCTCATCGTCCAGTTCAAGTTCAACAACCACTGGCTCTGCTTCTGCTTCCAGCAATCGTCGATCCAACAGTGGTGGTGTTCAGCGTAAGATCCCGGCTCGTTACCCTCCCAACATACGCCCCTTGACTCTGCATACTCTTTTGACGAAGATTGACACTTCTGTTAGCGAGGACGAGGTGTTGACCAGTCCCGCAATGTCTCCTCGTGGATCTGGTCCACCTGCTGGACCCTCCGTTCGAGATGCCATTCAAACTGATATCAAGGAACTTGGGCCTTCCACCGATGACAAGGAAGAAGAAGAGCGCGACGAGTTCCCCTTGTGCAAGGAAGAAAAAGAGCTCCTTCGCTTGGAGGATGAGGTGTCTGTTGCATTGATGTGTCTTGCCAATGGTGACTTTGGTGACGGTCGAAAGATCGAACCACCTGGAATGGTCATGGAGCTGTACACCGTGCTTGATGATGGCCAGCGTTTGAATCGGAATCGAACGATTGCCTGGACGTTTGACCAGAAGGCTGATCTTGAGACCTATTTCATTTACAAAGGTCAGAAAGACGGTTATCCCCTTCCTCCTGTTGGCGAGGAGTACTTCCTTGGTGGTATTCCTGCGAAGTATTCCCTTGTGACTATTCAGAAGGTTCGCGTCTTCTTGTTAGCCTTGGGACAGTATCGATATGAGTATGGTCTCATTTGTCAGGCCATGGGCTGGAGTCTGACTCAACTGCACTTGCGCAAGGAGGCCTTTGACAAAGCCAATCAGTGGAATGGATTGTTGTGTGTTGACTTGCCTTCTCTTACAAACGATGACATTGAAGATGAGACTTATCGTGTTGCTTCCCAGCCAGTTGGAGGTAAGGTTGTTACCTGTGATCCCAGTTTCTTGTCTTCTCCCATGAAAACAGTCTTCTGTTTTGAGTGGTGGCAGCGTCCTCCCAAGCCACATGAGTGGTGGCGCATTCCTCGTAGCAGTGGCACTGGCCAAGACAAAGATGACGATGGTGGTGGCAAGGCCCCTGCTCGTGGTAGCAAGACCCCTGGTCGCAAGACCCCTGGTCGTCGCCCTCTAGACAAGAAAAAGAAGAGCATGACTCCTAAGAAACGAGGCACCCCTGAAGCATCCTCGTCTTCCTCCAAGCGTCGTACTCCTGACTCTGTTGCGTCCACATGCAGTGGGAGGGGAACTAAAAAGGATCCAGTGGTTCCATTTGGAATCTTCCCTCAGGATGATGACATTGACAATCTGCCTCCCATTCCTCGCAAGAGTGGCAAGACTTTCGAAGCAAAGACGAAGACTCTCTTCTGTGAACAGCCAAGTCAGTTGACTCGAGCGTCCAAGGAGTCCAGTGATGACAGCAGCAAGGATGACAGCAGCATGATCCACCTGCCAAATGCGTCCCCTTCCATGTCGTCTGTTTCTGTTGATTCGGCTGCCCGTGAGCGACAGTTGGAGCTTGAAGCCATCTTCGAAGCTGGTCGAAAAGAACGTGGAAGTGACAGTGAAGAGGACAATGACCATCATGACTAGGTAGGACAGGAAGAAGAAAGCAGCTTTCGAGGAACAACGACATAACCATCAGCATTGGTGGTGTTGTGGTGGTGGTGTGTTCTGTAATCTGCGCTTGTGGTTGAATCGATCGAATCCAATCCTTTTATTCTGCGATTGGATTCATTCCCAGCGAGCTCTAGAAAACTTCTAATATCTGCGAGAGCTCGAATGCGAATCAGCGTGTATGAATTCGCTGAGTATGCTTTACCACGGATCCTATATAATGGAGTTTACGTGTGATCTGCGAGAGCCTGACTGGCTTCTACAAATAATATATTAATGGCGAATATCAATATACCCCACGTGGCTTCATGTGTATTACCATCTTTCAGACATGCCCCCACGTACTGTACTCCCCGCGTGGAAACCTGAACCGTGTGGAGAAGCAGTCCCGTCATTGTGGGAAAGCCCACGACTTCCTCGGAGGCTGCCATCCTCGGTGCGGTACGGTGCCTTGGTGCAAAAGCTAAAAACAGCAAAAGCCAAACAAGAAACAAATAGAGGACCGAACATCAATATTGACCATGAAGGTTGTAGGATTAGCCATCGTTAGAACAGGGCAGGAGCTCAATGAACCCATCCCTATGAGTGTCGCCACTGACCTCTCGTCATTTGGATTTTTCCAGCGTCAGGTAAGTTGTGGAAGACCCCTTTAATTATTACTGTTGATGGAATGGCATGACACCGAGGGCAGTCTTTGTTACCCGTTGAGGATGGATGGAGTGTTCGAGTGTTTTTCTTGACTGAATGCTGTGTTGTCTCATTGCCCCTCTTATCGATTTTTTGTCGTATTATTGATTGATTACTCGACAACAACAACCACCCCAACGAAACGCAACGATACAATAAATAGAGCGTCAAGGAAATGCTAATGTTCTTGACGAAAACCTTCACAAAGCGGACAGAACCAGGCCAACGCCAGTCGATTACACACGAGGGTTATGTGGTGCACTGTTACGTGAGGTCGGATGGACTGGGTGGTACCGTGACGACCGATTTAGAGTACCCCGCTCGTGTGGCGTTTGTCTTGATTGGACAAATGCTAGAAGACTTTGTGGCTCATGTAGGCGGTGACGACAAATGGAAGACTGTGACCCAACCGGAATCCATCACCTTTCCAAAATTGGACGAATATTTGCAAAAGTACCAGGATCCCGCCGAAGCCGACAAGGTGACCAAAATCCAAAAGGATCTGGACGAGACGACACAAATTCTACACAAGACCATTGATAGTGTCTTGGAGAGGGGAGTGAAACTAGACAACCTTGTGGAACGCAGTAATGATTTGTCCGCGCAATCCAAAATGTTCTACAAACAAGCCAAGAAAACCAACAGCTGCTGTGTCATTTCTTAAAAAAGAAAGAACAATTCATATTATCGTGATTCATTTCATCAAGAGGAGGAGAAAATAATGGAATCATCACAGAACAGGAAATGAACCACGACGACAACTCAGAAAGAAAAAGGAACCAGCGAGAGAGAGGAAGTGAATTGCATGGCAGCGTCAGGATTCAAAAGCCTTGTTTATAGAATTTGTTCGCTATGTAAACTGGGAAATTGTTTTTGTTGGATGTTCGGGGCTCAAACGTACCGTGCATATTGTGGGAGGAGCGATGTGGCCCCATCTGCGTTGCGTTGTACGCTTGTTAGTTTCTGTCGGTGGCTAGCACTTTATTTTGGTAACGGAAGGTTTTAGAGATGCTTCGTGTAGTTCGTGGTGAAAGAACGAACCTAGCCAGTCGCCTCGTATCGGAAGCTACCGTACCTGGTACCGGTACCAGGCAGAATCGAGGCATCAATACGAGCACCTTTCTGTGTTCGTTTCGTTGTTGGGAGCGGATCGTTGATCCAATGTATGTATGTGAAGGGTTATGGTTACACCATCTCGGGCTACCATTTCAGCCATTCCACCCATCCGCCCGATTCAACTCGTTGTGACGGCAACCTTCATCATCGCGACGCAATCTCTCGACTCGAATGGGCTAGCTTGCACTAGCTAGGTTCTCTACAGTGTACATCCTAGCTTGCTACTGGTTGCCATGAAGCATCCTGCTGTATTCATTCATTCTATCATTACTATCTATAAGTGCGCCAGTTTTGCTCTGGCACGGTTTCGTTCTTGTTCGTACTGAGATTCCTCGCTCTGATTGGCCCAGGGCGATGCCGCTTGATGGATGATGGCACCACCCGCCGCCTGCACTCCCGATAAAGATACCATGGTCGTAGTCCGTAGAGCCATGAATGCGAGTTTGAAGGACAGTGTGGCGGGCATGAGAAGTTCGCGTCCCGCATTCAAAATGGGTCCCAGGACTTGGGCACCGGTTTGTCCCAGGGGAGTGCTCATAATGGCATCGGCGGGCATGAGCGCCAATCCCACGGTCGCATCGACAAAGTTCTTGCGTTCAATGACAAAGACGGAGTTTCGGTGGATTCGCATGCATGCTTTGTTGTCGCGACGTAACTCTTCTCCCATGTGCTGGTTGTGATTGTTGTCGCCACCCTGACGACTGGATGTGATGTTTGCCACGGGCAAGGAGTACTCGACCAACAGATACGGATCTTTGACTTCTCGAACAATCATGGGCATGAGGGGTGGTAATATGGGGTAGCAAGTGGATCGTTTCGGTGGGCGTCTGGCATATGATTCCAATGCGACTACATCATTGTGCTGGGGTTCCATTCCATTGGGTCGATACGTAATCAGCAGACGGACCTTTCCAACTTGTTTTCTGGTGGGTGTCTTTTTGGACGGTGTTGGGTTTTTGAGTGGATCCTCTTTGGACGGTTTGGAGGCGGTAGCAGCCGCAGCCGCTGGTGGCGCTAGAGCAAATTGATTGTGCAAGTGATGATGCTGTTGTTGATGATGTTGTTGTTGCTGTCCTTCCAATTCTTCCTGATCATCCACCGTGTAGTAGACGGGAACCCATGCATCCAAGACACCCACTTGTGTTTCTCCAAACATAGTTTCTCCCAGACACAGGGACGTGATATCCACCTTGCCTCTTCCAATCAAGCGATCGTCTCCTTTGGGAATTCCGGGAATGAGTTTTTCCGCCACATGAGCATCTTCATCGACTCGAACGGACAGCATGATGCGCATCCCATCTTCACGAAAGGAACCTTTTCGCAATGGCATTTCAAAATGAAAGTCACTCCAGACTGGATTGTTGTCTTGCGGAATCACCGGACTGGCTACCACAGGCTGAGAAAGCGTCTTTTCCATCATTTTGGCATTCGCTGAAGGTTTGGCTGGCATTTTGGCATCTTCGTTATTCTGTGCCGTCAAACCTTCGTTTTCTTGGTTGTGTGATTCCGCTTCCATGGTAAATGTACAAAAGGAACTGATGGGACCATGAGCGGTCGACAAGCCCAGATGTTTGACAGGTCCCAAGGCCAAGGCGGACCAATACGACCGTTCCAGGTCAGCCGCCTCCAACAAACGAACTCGGACTATTCCCATGAGACCCTTTTGATGGTGCAAGTGTCTGTAGGGTTGATCACGGAATGCCATTTCGGGAGACCAATGAATTGGATCTGGCAGACGAAACGTCGATTTCCTCGCCATCGTGGCCTCGTAGGTACTACTTTCGGCAGAGCCGTCGTACTGGGAGTGGCTGTGGTCCATTTTCCGTTCTCTTGTTAGTAGCAGCTAAAGACTTGGAATGGTTCTATTCACCATCAAAAGAAATAAATTTCTAGCTCTAGATGTGACTGTGGGTGGGACCAAAGATTCCCAATGTGGCTCCGGTTGTGAAATGATGACAAACGCTTTCGGCATCATCGTCGCGTTTGCTTCTTCTTTCGCTCGCAGTCCTGTGGGAATGCTCAAACACTGCAAGTTTAAAAGCCAGCGAGCTGATAACACGACGAAGGACGGCCTTTTGGTCCTTCAAGGAAGGCGATCAAGCAAAACCGTGCACTCATCCTCATGCTCCACCTCGGTTACATGCCCTGATGTATTCTTTAGCTTGCTAGGCAAATTAGACCAGAAACAAGGGTGCATATGATACCATCATTGGTGGCCGAGCTAGATGATGCAGCATCCCAGTCGCTGGCTTGGGGTATAGTGCTGACTACTGTAGATCCAGGTGATCCCGCGACCAATAGAGTTGGCTAGTTAACTTCTATCTGCTGTCGTATCTTCTGCAGGATTGTTCCCGGTGTCCTTGCATATCGTAGCTCTTCCTTTCTGGCCGAAGATATTCAGGAGCCAGGTAGCCACCAAAGATGTCTCAAGGTCGCCATTGGAAGGCTTTGGAAACCAACTTCGTCTAGCTCCTCTTGTAGCTAATAAGGTATCCACCCGGCATACTCCGATGGATTCGTTCTCTCCACTTCTCAAAGGCGGGTCTCCGGATGAAAGTGCTCCTCTTCCCGCAAACAACGAAAGGTACGGTACATGGATACCGCCCCCTGGATAGATACATGTCGTGTAAAAAGAATCTATGACATAGCTAGCTAGTAGTAGCAGGATATGGCCAACATTGATGTTGCACCAGCTTCTTTATTGGGATTCGCTTTGACTGCCCGAGTTGGTCTTCGTGCTGATGTGCAATACAGCCACCTGGAGCTAGCTAGATACTGTAGCTACTGCCGGAGTTTACAGACGCCTTTTGAGGCAACGAGCGAGTGCTTGCTTGATACAACTCCATTCGTGATGGCTCATTCGCGGATGCAAAATTCTGCGGTGCACAATTCGCAGAAAGCCTTCCGACAACATCGATAAGAAGCCATGCTGCACAGTGTAGTGGGAACCTGCCTTTCTACCCTTTGGGAACCTTGAATCGGACCTCTACAATAACAATCACCAGCACCTAGCTGTTTCTATTCTGGCACCAAGTCAATCCGAAGCAGCTTGGATACTCTGACCAAAAGTCCCTCACAAAAGATATCGAAATCCGAATTGCATTTGCAAAGCTTTCGACATCCCAAACTTCTGCTGTAAAAGCGGAGAACCCTTGGTTAGCTAGCTGTTGTTGCAGTTGCTCGCTGATCGTTGATGAGCCTCCGCATTGCCTTGGTCAACGCTCATAATAATCTGGCAGCAAAAGAAGCAAGCAATTTGACCTGAATCGAAGCACATACGGTACCGCCATGGCCACCACCCAAATCAACGGCCCAACCGACGGCTCCAAAGCCATCAATGGAAAGGACAATCTCAGAGGTGGCAGCAAGCACGGCTATGAAGATCGACGACCAAGCTTTCTTCGCGTGCCCAGCGATACCTATGGTGCCCAAAGTACCCTCCCTCGTCTACCCATTCCCACGCTAGACGAAACATTGGATAAATTCCCCAAAATGATCCAAGCCGTACAGACCAAAGAGGAACACGCAGAAACCCTCAAAATGGTGGAAGATTTTCGCAAGACAGATGGTCCCAAACTCCAGCAAATGCTCATTGACTATGATCAAGAAGGAGCAAGGACCGGCGCCTTTGGTTCTTACGTGGAAGAGTTTTGGAATGATTCGTACTTGGCTCCCGACTCTTCCGTGGTCCTCAACTTGAATCCCTTCTTCATCCTTGAGAAGGGACCCGATCGAAAGATTGCCAATAATCAACTTCAACGAGCGGCCAGTCTCTGCTTTGCCTCGCTCAAAATGGCGTCCATGCTCAAGCGAGAAACCCTACCACCAGATACCTTCAAGGGACGGCCCTTGTGCATGGATCAGTTCAAGGTATTGTTTGGAACAACTCGTATACCCGGCGGCCCAGGAGTCAAGGACTACGTTGATCACTATCCAGACTCGACCCATGTGGTAGTGTTGATCCGAAACCACATTTACTACTTTCAGGCACTCTGGCCTTCTGATTTCAGTGTCGCCGTGGACCAGCATGATATCAAGGATATCTTGGAAGCCATTCAAAAGCACGCAGACCTGGTAAGGGCAAGTGAAAACGAGGCCGATGGCGCTGGCAGTACTGGTAACTTTGTCGTGGACGGAAAGGATGGCACTAAGATTCCCATCAACTCGTGTGACGAAGCTCTGGGAGTCCTGACCAGTCTACCACGGAATGAATGGGCCGCCGCTCGCAAGATGATCCTGGACGGTGACAATAAGCAAAATGCACAGGCTCTTCGCGTCATTGATAGTGCTCTCTTTGTATTGGTGTTGGACGATCGTGCGCCCCAGGACATTAACGATGCCGCATCGAACATGCTGCATGGGAGTCACAAACTGGTAATGGACCGCGCCACCAACAAGTTCGTTCAGGTTGGTACATGTTGCAATCGATGGTATGACAAGCTCCAGCTCATCGTGATGGCCAACGGAAAAGCAGGTACGTTGGGGCTACCCCACTGCCGTCGATCGCTGCCATGCCACATTACTCTAACCTATTGTTGTTGTTGCTGTTGCTTTCAGGCGTCAACTTTGAACACTCCGCGATTGATGGACACACGGCCTTGCGTTATGTCAGTGATATCTTTGCGGAAAACGTGGTCCAGTTTGCCCAAAGCATCACGGCACTGATCTATGGAAAGGGATGGATCCCAGACAACATGAATGCCCCCATCAACCGAGCGTCCACCTCCATGACGGAAGCGAGCAAACACGCTCCGCCCGGAGAAGCAGACGAGAAGGAAAAGACTCTAGATGTCTTCCCAAAGAAGCTAGAGTTTCACTTGCCACCCAAGGTTAAGGAGCTCATTCGCCACGCCGAGACCAACCTGGGTGATCAGATTATTGCTTCTGACATGGAAATTCTAGAGTTTCAGGGATATGGCAAGTCTCTGATCGTCAAGAACAGCCTCAGTCCGGACTCCTTTGTACAGATGAGCATGATGATGGCCTACTACAGCCTCTACGGAAAGTTTGTTTGTTCCTATGAGCCAGTCTTGACCAAAGCATTCTATCATGGGCGAACTGAGGCTATGAGAGGGGCCACTCCGCAAGCCAAGAAGCTTTGCGAAGTTTGGTGCAACCCCAAGTCAACCAAGGTTGAGAAACTGGAAGCCCTTCGCGTGGCTACCAAGGAACACTCTCGCTTGGTCCGCGAATGTGCCAATGGCAAGGGCGTGGACCGTCATTTGTTTGCTTTGAAGTGCATCGCGGAGCGCAACAGCGTGCCATTGCCGGCCCTCTTCAAGTCGGGCGCTTGGAAGACATTGAATCATACTGTGCTCTCTACGTCCAATTGTGGCAATCCATCGTTGCGCTTGTTTGGCTTTGGTCCTGTTGTGCAAGGTACGTTTCATACTTACTGTATGATCTGCTTGTTCGGTTCTTTGCAAACCTAGCACTCACTGAAGTCATTTTCTTTCATGGTTTGCTTGTCAGATGGATTTGGTATTGGATACATCATCAAGGACCACGGAGTGCAATTTGCCATCTCCAGCAAGCACCGCCAGACCAAACGTTTCGTCAATGAGCTGGAGAATACCTTGATCGCTCTCAAGCGCCTTTTAAATGCTATCTCGTCTGTGGTGTGCGGTGGCCATCACAATCACGTGATTCATCAGGCGCATGTCGAAATCAAGGCGGAGCAAGAGAGTGATGACATGTACGGTGATTTCTGGGGTGAGAGTGTTCTTGACTCAACAAAGGCGTCAGCGGAAGGAAGCCGCAAGAATGACACCAAGGCAAACTCACCCAAGAAGAACGAGGACGAGCCAGATAGCAAGTTGTTTTCGATGGTGGTTCGAAAGGACAGCTTGTGTCTTACGGACATCAAACAGATTGGTCTTCACCTGAGCTTTGACGAGAGTGTAGAAAGTGGCTCTTCTGGGGCCTCTGACGAGAGGAACAACATGCGTCGCGACAGCTCGCACAGCGATTCGGACAGTACTTGAGATGTGCATTGACCGAACAAGTGGCTTTTTCATTTCCTATCTTTCCACCCAGCTCTTGCACGTTCGATGATATTCACGGCTAGTAGAGGTAGCTGTGGTAAGCAAGCATATCAGGATATTTCATACTATAGCTAAAGCATAATCTTTATAAAGCACCATGCGTTTCTCCCTGCAATTCCCCTCTCTGATTCAGGCGTGGCTCGGCTAGCTACCAAACCGTCCCATCCTCAGGATCCGACTTGCAAAAAGGGGAGGCATTGATGCCTTACATGTCCTTCTTCGTGGGGAGGTTGCCCATTGTCGCTGCAGGAGCAAAAATGTAGCGAGAGAGCATTGAGGTGGGGTGAAAAACAAAACAAATGCACGAATGCACGGCAAAGAAACGTGGACTCACAAGCACTACGCCGCCATAACAGTAAGCTTTTCCTGAAGCTTGATCAGATCTTGCTGGAGAGTTTCCCGCTGGTGCTGGAGAGTTTCCCGCTGTTGCTGGAGACTTTCCTCTTGTTGCCGGAGACTTTCCTGCTGATCGCGGTTTTGCCGGATTTTTCCATCCAAGATTTCTCTGCGACGGTTCTTCGCGGCGGCGACAAGAGAGTCCAGAGAAGAGGCAGCTTGAGACCGCTTTCCCTCCGCCTTGGACACCTTTGCAGTTGCATCCTCCAAGGCAGCTTTCGCCTTTTCGATTTTTGCGTTGGACTCTTCACTGAAGGGAGTTGCTGTTTGTGGAAGGGGTCGGCATCAAAAAAAGGAGTGTGAGAGGGTGGGAAGTGGCAGAGTGAAACAGGAGAGGTGCCACTACCGGTACCGGTACCATACTCACAAGATGTGACCACCCCTGGGGCTAGAGTGGCAGGTGCGTCTTGTGGCTTGTTGTTGTCGCTGTTGCAGTTGGAACCTGAATCCGAGTCGTCTTCGACAACAACGACGTCATGGACTATGTTTCCACTGGGGACGCTAGCAACAGCTTGTCCAACTGCGCGCACTGGAGGGGCGTCGGCGACATTGTCGACTTGTTGCATGATTTGAGGTTTGGGTTCTACCAATATGAAGGCATCCTTGCAGTCCGTCTTGGACACGGAGATACCCGCAGCAGTCGCCTCCCTGACAATGCGAGCCATTTCGTCGTCGGCGTGTTTTTTCCAAACGACCCCGTCTCTGCCAACGGGCGCTTTGTCTGGAAGGTATTTTACCAACACGTACTTGATGCGGGTCACACAAGGGATCGCCTTGGACCTTTGCTTGATGCCAAATAGAACACGACACGGTTGGTTCCGGGAATGCAGAGGGCTTCGTACCTGCCATCGATGTCCACATCCACGCCGTAGACATAGCAAATAACCCGCTTGAGGGTTTCAATGGTTTTGTCTAGCTGGTCCTTGTCCTTGATGTCGAAGCATGGGCTGGGGCTTGACGAACTGTACCGCCACCATGGTGCTGGTTGCACGCTATGGAGGAGACTGTTTTAAGTCCAGCCCTATCACCAAACTGAACAGATCCGATCGTCGACGAGTCATTGAAAGATAGGCAACAATCAACCGGAGGAAGCTACACGACAACACACACGGAAGGGGTGTGATCAACTGCTACAGGGCGAGGCTCTGTACATCGTAACTCCAAACCAAAACAGAGGAGCCTATTGTTCCTTGCGCCACCATTTTCATCGTAGAACAGAGTTTCTTTTTCACACGTACTGCGGATGTTGTTGAATTTCAATACAAACCTCCTATAAACGAAGCCTTGGTTCTAAAGTACCGGTAACCACTGCTGAGACCAAGTTCTCGTTGCTCGTTGACAAATAATCAGGCCACCGACTACATCATGTACCGAAACCTGGAGCTCGCCACTGCAGCCTGAACACTACAACTGCAATTGGAGGTGACGAGACCGGTATCTCAGCGAGAACTGTTGAAACGACAATACAGGCCCCGGCTACCGGTAGCTAGCAACTGGTGCGACATTCAATGGATAAAATTAGTATCGTTTCTTCTGTTTTACATGTACATTCTTCGTCAAGGAGGATTTCACGAACGTCTTCCTTTCCGAGAACGTCCTCGCCAGCGTTGCTCTTCTGCACGCCTTCCTTGGTCTCGCCAAGATCTTCTTCGTCAAGCTTCTCTAGCTTCTTCTTGGCAGACCGCGTTCTGCATTGCATGCTTGCTTTTCTTGGGAGTCATGGTTGATGATGAAAACGATACAGTACGAGAGTTGCTGTTGCCTTGCCCGAGAGAATGCGTGAAGTTGCTTTTTTTCCGTGAGTGTGATTGTAATCAGAATGACAAAAAGGCAAAACAGCACGACCGATGACCGATGACCGATAACGCAACTCTCGATCTGATGTTGATCATCTGAAAATGATATACCAGGTACTAGGCTTGTTGTACCATCAATTGAGCCCACAATAAAGAACTACCATTATTTGAAATCCATGTACATGTAGGCACGAGGGATGCTCCGACTGGAGCCAAACAGAATGATCGGTGCATCGCACAATAGAGGGTGCATCGCACAAAAAAAAGAAGGTGTATTGCACAATAGAGGGTGCATCGCACAAAAATAGAGGGTGTATCGCACAAGAAAGGAAAGCAATGACTTGCAGCTCTTTATGAGGGTGACTGCCAGTATCCTTGGTTGGTATCATCATTGGACACCATTCTGCGACAGTGGATGCTCGAAGGCTTTGATCACGTATAGCATGATCAACATCATCTGCATCGTCACTGAAGGTACGTAGTGTGGTGTGATCGCTTTGTCTAGCTAGACTACTCGTACATGTACCGTGGCCACTGGGGCGGCGTCTTGGCTTCCAAGCAGCATTGTTTGAGCTTGACTTGTTGCGACGTTCACCGTTTGTGTCCCTTGCCATTGTCGACGTCTTGTGAAGACGGTAATTGACCGTTATTAGTCTGTTAAGCCTTCTATACGTCATCAGTGCACGATGCACGTTTAAATGTCGCCCTCATTTTTTCATGGAGATGTGTGGCTTTTGTGCCGCGCGTTCCGAACCAAAACCAACGACTCTTTTGGGGTTTCTTTTCAGTAAGGGTAGGGTTGATTTAGGACTGTCACCTCTGGAGTAAGAAATGGACCTTTCTTTTCAAGGACAAGGCACCCGAGGAGGTCATGGCCATCATCATGGCAATGGTTTTCTTGGAGTTACCTAGTTAGATCCAAAGAATCTCCTGTGCATACCGCAGTGTGAGTGAACCACAGCAGCATCCATCTGCCTATACCAGCTTTAGTACCTACCGGTACAGTTTGTACATGTAGCTAGGATGCGACATTCGATTTTTCATCTGGTACAGTAGCACTACGAGCCAATGGTAACAAGAGTCAAGTACATGTAGCTGGTTGTCCACAATAGTGTCCAAGTGGTGGAGCTGCTCCGCTCTCTCTGAGTAGATTCAGTTTTTGCCAGCAGAAATGCTCACAAACACGGTTGTCGCCCCGATACCTTGGTGGTATTCTTTTGGTTTTGGTGGAGTATTTTTTACGCTTGCTGCTGTTTTGGATCTACAGTATTGATGTGGAGCTTTCTTGGTTTTTCCTTCCACAGATTGACGGCAAAGGTGAAGCGTGCTCCTCTGGTAACAGCTGAGACTCGATGCCATTTGCTGACATTGAACAGTACCAGGCGATTGTACTGAGCCTCGATTCGTTCGAAACTGGCCACGAACCCGTTGTCTTGGTTGGTCTGTGCTCCATCTTTCCAATAATACTCTTCGGCACTGGGTGATTGTTGTGGATCCACGGGCAAGAGTTCCAGATATCCACCCGTGAATCGATGAGGAAATCCATAGTACACGGCTCCAAAAATGGGATTGACCATGGTATTGGATTCCATACCGAGGGCCTCGTCCTTGTCGACATGCCAGTCCAGCGAGTCTCCTGGCGTGATAATATTGCACCAATATTCAAAACCGGCAAAGCTTGGAGTATTGTCAGGGTTTTTGGTGGTCACAACGGGATGATCCTGCCAGATTAAAAGGGCAATTTCTTCCCACACATTCTTGGGTTTCTCACCGGCTGGTAGGAACCGTAACCCTACCTCACTTTGGTGGTCGACGCATTTGGTCCACAGTTGGGGATCGGCCAATTGGAGCAACGTTTCTTCGTCTTGTATGAAATGACTCTTGACGACAGTACCACTGCCTCGCTGAGCAGCATGCAACGAGGCTTGTACAGCTTCTCTTCGTCTGCGAGAATTGTATTGTTTGAGGACTGGCAATGGTTCCGTCGATTCTTGCTCTTGTGTAGTAGTACATGTGCCGGTACCGACAATACCAGCAACAGACGAAAATCCCAGTACAAGAAGGAAAGCTCTGGCGGATCGCATGATACCGTATCGCAAATATGGATCTACTTCTTTCTTGTTTTGCCATTGAGAAATGGGTCAAAAGGATCGCTTTTGGAGGTAGACAAGTCCATGCTTGAGGGCTTGAGGCCTTGAAGGTTCTTTAATTAATAGAATGGGAAGGGTTGCCTTTGTTCATCCGAAAGCCTGCTGGGAACAGTGGATGAAGTTGGCCATGGCTCGGTCATGGTTGCTGTCACTGACGTCAATCAGAAAGCGTGAACACTTACGTCATCAGAGCCCCTAAAAACAAGCTTGCTTGTTGGATTTTTGTTTCTCTTCCGCTCTCGAGACAGCACACTTCACAACACTCCCTCCTTTGATGACATTATAATGAAACTACGAGTACCCGCTGCCGCTGGTACTGTGCCGATACTCGCCGTCTTTCTTGCTACCGCTTCCTCTCTGTTTCGTCGCGTTGCTGCTAGTCCCTCTACCAGTTTTTCTCCTCAAGTTGCCATGGTGTCATCATCACCGTCCCCAATAACAACAACAACTCGCACGGAATCTTCTGGGGCTGATACCCCCAATTACCAACCCGTACATCTGTACCCGTACTCCACAAATCTGCCGGATCTCAAGGCCACTGACGACTATTCTACGCTGAAACGGATACACATCGTCCGGCATGCCGAAGGTACTCACAATGTCAATAAAGAATACAGTGACATGGTCAACCTGGATGCACGTCTCACCGAAAAGGGCAAGGAACAGTGCCAACGACTGGCGCAAAAGCTGCAAGACGCATCACCCTCCAGCGCACTGGGACAACTCCTGAAGAACACCGAACTGGTGGTGACGTCCCCACTGACACGATGTCTCCAAACAGCAATGCTCTCCTTTCCCACACTGACTGACGATAACGAAAAAGTCCTCTTTGTGGCTCATGAATCCATACGGGAAACCGTCAACTACGCATGTGATCGTCGACGACCCATTTCCGAATTGGAAAAGCACTTTCGCGATCGAGTGGATTTTGGGGAAATCGAACAGGATCATGATGAAATATGGGAGAGCTATGTGAGACGGTCACAACAATTATTGGACAAGCCGAAAGAGAGTGCCGAGTTGCACGTGGTGGCGGATCGAGCGCGAGATTTCTTTCAATGGGCCAAACTGCGACCGGAGCGGGAAATGATAGTCTGTACTCATTCGGCATTTTTGCGGGCCTTTTTGAGCTGGGGGCAACCGGGAGGGGTGCTCTGGATCATGCCACAGACATTGGACACACGCAATCCAAAGCCGGCAACCGAAACACCTGTGGTTGCTTATCATGGTGATGACGATGGATCTTTTGAAGCCGCTATAAGGCAAGACTACGAGAACTGCGAACTACGGTCCTTTGTTGCAGCGTATCCTAAATAATACACACAGCACCGTGAGTATTATTTGAAGAGTTGCAACGTGTTGCCAGTGGCAATGAGAGAGCGCTTTTCGCTCCCGATTCAGTCTCCTTTCAATTGGAAAGTTCGCAGTGGAGTTCAACAGTAATCTCTAGAAAACGCGTGAACGAACAATGGCTTGCATTGGGATGCTTCTCAAAGTACTTTTGTGCATCTCCAGGTAAAATGGATGGTTTCCTCTTGCTCGCGTAGCTCGAGACTTGATTCCTGCTTTCTGTTTGCTTCGGCCTTGTGCTTCTTCTCTGGACCTGATGTCTGTCAATCTCGTCGCATGTAGCTTTGCGTTTTTCTTGTGGGAACCTCTTACGATGCCGTTGCAGCTGGCTGGCACTTTTGCTTTTGGGCCAAAGTACGCTTGCGCTCCTTCTTCCTCTCCATGTTGCGCTTCACGTTCAAGCAGTGCGACTTCTTGGCTCCACGGATACCGGAGGTTTGTGGGGCCTTGTGGTACCGCTGGTACCAGGTACCACTACTAGTACCTGGAAAGTCCCGCAAAAACTGACTTTGGCGACCATGACGTGGCAGTAATTAAGCCCTTTGTGACCAGATTCGCTTGAAAGCATTACTGTTGAAAATGATTCGCTAATTGTTGATTTCGTTTCAACGGTATTGAAAAAGTGTTGAATAAGTGTTGAAAAAGTGTTGGATTTAAGGTTGATTCCTTTTCAACACTATTGATTATACTGTTGAATTGTATAGTCCCCGTTTTCAACACCCACATCAACACAACAAATTCAACACAAATTCAACACTTTGAACGTTGCCGTCGTGCCCGTGGCCATGGCGATAGCTGACGATACCACACTCTCCGGTTGACCTCTGTTGCTGCCTTTTGTGTATTGTTGTTGTCATTTCAGCTAGCTGGGGTCGGGGTAGGGGTCAAACAAACTGTAGCTTCCATTGTCAAGTTGATAGCAGCAAATGGCGGTAATAGCTTCAAAGCAAGACCTGTGGGCGACCAAGAAGTCACCCTGATCATGACGAAAGAGTGTAGAAAGAACATCCCATTTCTTTAGAAACAGGTTGAACTTTTCTTGTCGGGAAAGGGCTCGATCTTTGAACTCTTCGATATCATGAGGATCAAACTCATTCTTCGTGCTGATAAGATCCATTTCTTCCTCAGCCTCATAGATCCCATCAGCAAGGATTCGTAGCTCTTTTGTATTTGTCTCATTGTAGGCTCGGAGTTTTGGAAGTAGCTCTTCTCTAGACACTTCAAGATCGTTGTGTAGACCAGGTGGTGTTGGACCGTGAAGCCAAATTAGCTTTGCTTTGTTGATGCTCAATCCAACTTCATAGTTCAAGCCAGCATCTCCTCCAAACTTATGACTTGACCAAATTTTAGAGAAAGGTCTTGGCTCCTCGATTGGGCAATGTGTTCCATCAACTGTCATGAAAAAGATCATACCATCATCGGACTCCTCCCAAGTGAGCATCTTCCCTTTGAGCAGTTTCTGAATTTTCTTCACGTAACACCAGCACCACTTGCGGATAGTGTTGTCACTTCCGATCTTGAAGAAAGACATCAAGTCAAGCTCAGTGTCGTTTTTGTAAAGGAACCGGAGGGTGATAAATAGGTGTTTGGGTTTGCTCTTCTTGTCCACTTCGCTCATGGCAATGAAATCTGCCCACATTTGTGCACAAGTAATAGGTTTGGCTCCAAATGCGTTGGTAAAGCGATCGATGACAGAACTTTCTTTCAGAAACTCCCATCGTTCCACACCAAGGATGTCCATTCCAAAGGCAAGAAACTGGTTTGCACTGAAGCTTTCCGCTGCCATCTTGCTGGTTGGTATTATCTTCAAACGAAAAGTGCCGATCAGCCTCCTCTATCCTCGATTGCCAGCGTGGAAAATTTCGTTTTTCAGTCATGCAAAATCGAGGTGGGAACGGGCCGCCCAGCGTTGGAGCTCGGCATCACTCCAGAACTTGCCTCCGTCTATATGAACAACGTGTTGCGTAACTCTTTAGTCAAGCATGGCCGCAATGAATGTCTTCATGTATTAAGTTAGCAGTGCGGGAAAGAACAAGATTTTTTCCCTGGCCGCCACTTTTTGCATTCAAAGTGATGAAACAGTTTCAGGAAAACTCGAAGCATTGGATTTGAAGCGCCATTCCGACTTGTTGTTGTTGCCTTCTAGACTCCTCCACTCTTCAACCATGCCATCTATTACTCGATCAAAGAAACACAATTTGCCAGAGGAAGATCCTCCCAAAGTAGTTGCGGCGACCAAGAAGCCAAAGTCGGCCGGCAAAGCTTTGACCAAGGTGCAACAACATCAGATTCTGCTAGATATCGAGAAGCATCCGGGCTGCCAGTTTAAAGACCTTCTGAAAACCTATCCTGAAACCTACGAAGTTGGAGATCCTATTCAGACAGCGTATCGCAATCGATTCAACTATCTGAAGGAGCTGAAGAAGACCAAGCCAAAGCAGTACTGGGACCTGTATTCCAAGGCAGGCAAAATTGTGCTTGTGGGAGAAGAAGACGAGACCAAGAAGAAGGCAGAAGGGAAGCAACAAAAAGACACAGTCGAAGACACAGTTGAAGACAAGGCAGAAGAAGACAAGGAGGAAGACGACGACGAAGTCCAGCCCGACGAAGCATCTACTATCTCGGAATTGACTTCACCCACGTTCGGAGGTCCTGTCAAGAAAAGACCGGTCAAAAAGAAGGTTGAACCTGCTGCTGCTAACACTACACCCAAAACAAAACCCATCATCCAGAAGAAGATGCCGTCATCATCATCAAAGAAGTCTTCTGCGGCATCCAAATTTGGCTCCCCTTCGGTCACCAGCAAGGCCAAGCGATTTTGTCAGTTCGAAAACATTGAAGAGGCCAAGTCGTTTGCTGATGAATCAATCGAAGTCGACTTTGATTTTCCAGAAAAGAATGGTGGTCCACTGTTCTGGGTCCAGCATGTCCCAGAGTGCAGGTCTCCTGATGGCTCGGAGTTGATTGACAAGGTGCTGATTCGCGTCAATGCTATTATGGATTTCTCGGATGCGCATACCCTGAAAGGCAAAACAGTTGCATACGGAGCTGGTTTCATGCTGACAGTTCCTTGGGCTCCCAACTTCATGCTTGAACACCACAAAAAGATGTTCAAGAGAGAGGACAAACCATGTGATCGTACCCGTGACAAGCATGCTACTGTGGCCAATGCGATCCTCAAGTCTGAGAATCCAGAGCATGGATTGGAGCCACGCCGTTTCAAGAACGTGCTTTTCGTGTTTCCCAATAGCATGATCATTTCCACCAAGCTTGATAGCGGGGAAGACCCAGTCGCTGACCAGAAGATCACTATCAGTCTTCGAATCTTTACGGTCAAGAAAACAAAGGTTGGAGAGGGAGCCGACGAAGAAGATATGCCGCAAACGTATTGTCCTGGTGTGTTCGAATTCCGAGTGATTGACGAAGATGCAGAGAGTGAGCTTAAGCGCAAGAAGAAGGCCAAGAAGAAGGGGCAGTCTTTGAAGGATCTCTTTGCTGGAATGAAAGTCAATCAAGAAGGTGAGCCAGATCCTGATGGTGATAGTAGCAGCGATGATTCGGATGACAGTGGAAGCAGTGGAGCTACCACCGCCACCAAACCGAAGAAACAAGACAGTGAAAGTGGTTCTCAAAACGGCGGCAGTATGGAGGAGGACCTCTAAGCAGGAGGCGATCAATGGTAAGTGGCTGGTGAGTTGGCAGTGCATGCAGGCATTCACTATCTTTCTGTTCAACAAACTGAAAGATTCTAGATGCCCCGACAATGCTTCATCGATATTTCTTGAAACTGTCAACTCATCAGCTGCTTTGTGCTTTCGTTGCACTTTTTCGAATTTCTTTCCTTGCTTCAGACGACATTTGTTTCGGATCAATCTATCATTACTATTGCTGGTCGTGATTTGCTGGTTTGTGATGTTTTCTTGAAGGCTACTACTTGGATGACTAAAGACAGTAGCTTGTAATTTCAATCATTACTAACTTCAGCTGTTGCTTTGACACATTCATTTGTAGCAGATGCTTCTGAATCTGAAGAGGAGAAAGGTGATGTTCCTTCTGTAGAGAAGAAATCTAGTGGCGCCTCCAAGGCTATTGCTGACACTGGCAAGCCTCCGGTGGCACCTGAACGTCCATCATTGCCAGCGCTTCCGGTGCACCTGGTGCCAGTGTTGCCGCCGCTCCCATCAACACCAAAGAGACCTAAAGCTACAGCTACAACAAGTCCTTCACCAAGCAAGCCAAAGACAAGCACGCCAACAAGACGTATTGAAGCTCTAAAAGAGATTCGATCCTTTGATCCAGAGAAGCGACGCGGACTAAGAAACCAAAGGTTAGCCGATGCAGCTGGTGCAAAGCGAGACGCCAAGAAGAAAGCAGTTCTCGATGCAGTGCGTGATCAAGGTATCAATAAAAAGGTCCCATCTGCAAATACAGAGGATTTAAACTTTGCCGTGACCAATGCAACGATTGAAACAGTGAATAGTCGCGACCATGACTTCCAAGAGGCCACAACCAAGAGTGGGGAAGACGACGAAGCCATCAAGTTAGTCGAGTGGTTGGAAAACGAATTGAAGAATGATGTAAAGCAGATTGAATCAGACTTAGATGGTGTGTGAGTGATTGCTTGCTTATAATTGCTTGGTCGTATTCTTCCAGCGTGTGGTGGATAGCTGTACTTTGAAATAATATATAAAGTGAATTATTGTATCAAGCTTCAGTCCTCCTCCAAATTGCTAGCTTGTTTCTCTCTTCCTTTCTTTTTGTTCTGGATTCTTGTGGCTGTCTTTTTAGCTACACTTTCTTTGGTATTCTCTTCTCCAAGCATAGCTAAAGCTACCAAATGCGGGTGAGCAACTGCGGCCGGATTTCGCATTTTCTTCTTTCCAAATCAATGCTTCGACTCCATCTTTTCGCGTCTCTTCACTTCTTGATAGATATGATTGCGAAACACTTTAAGACTGAACTCTCGATACTCGGGTCTCAACTGGTATATTGCTTTTGGCTCTATTTTCGTGCCAGTCTCTGGGTCAATTGACAAATGAACCCCATTGTCGATATCTTCTTGAAGGAGCGTCTTAGCTTCAGATGTGTGCCACGATCTCTTGATAGGAGGGTTATCCTTTCGTTGCTCCAACAACACAGACATATCATTGCCAAAGTACTCGCAATCCTTGGACATTCTGTTGTAGTCTCGTGCAATAGCTTTTTGAAGGTTGCGCAAATTTGGTCCAAATCGACTTTTGCCATACTCTGCAAATTCTGGTCGCATGACAAAGACATCAGCAGGCATCATGTCGACAGTGACTCTCCCAGTGATGATATCATCCTTTAACAGCTTCTTAGCCTTGCTTGCTTTGGGCCCATGGTGTCTGCGCCGTCGTCTTTTTCTTCCGCTGTTTGGCCATCGTGGAGGTTGTTTTGTGCCGATCGAAGTCAACAGCGCTTTCAACAAGTGTTGAAAAAAGTGTTGATTTCGATTCAACAGTGTTGAAAAGTGTGCTGGCTCTTTGTTGAAAAAGTGTTGACTATTTATTGACAAAAATTCAACAGTGTTGAACCATGCTCTGGCGCTTTTCAACAGGTCGCCAAAATTTTCAATATGACGCACAATTGCCTAGCAGTCTGGACTTCGCCAATCGCCAAAGTCAGTTTTTGCGGGACTTTCCTGGAACTGGAGAGGAGGGCAAGAGGTTCTTGCTTAATTGGGACCTTGGGCGTCGTCTCGTTAGCCTCGCTGGCTAATCCCGCAACGAAAGATCCTGCACTCGCGGCGAGTGCAGTACCAGCATACATCCTTATCAAAACCGCAGCTCGACGGTGTCGTATCAAGAAAACATACATAGCTATCCAGGCTCTAGCTAGCTAGAGTACTCCATATCATCAATCGAACCTTGCAACTGCTGTTGCAGCAGAAGCGTCAACCAAAGCAAAATCGGCAACTGCTACGATTTCGAATACCAGCAACGCAACGGGCGCTCAGTTGGGTAGGCTTTAACGTGGATTCGGAGTTCCAGAGTGGTTTTGACTCAACACGTACTATCTCGAGAACGAATTCGATCTATGCCAAGATAGATTTTCTATAGCTAGCCACCTCAAGCCATCCGTCGCAAAAAGAACAATAAAGCACTATAAACAGATGAGTAATGTCAATGAGAGCGCATGCAATGATACCAGCTCCAAACAGCACCTGGGTGTAAGTGTGCATCATTTGGAACACATCTTTCTGAGAAACGAGGTGTGCAAAACCAGTACACTTTCACGAGACTCCAAAATATATGACATTGAAAATCTCCAAGGTCCTCCAGGTGTTATTCGAAGAAAGAGTGCCAGCACAATCTGCCCAATTGATGGGAAAATGGGTGCTGCCTACGTCCACTCTCTGCAAGGTGAGGACCATGTCGGAGAGGCAACTCAAATGCTCAGTTATTCATGGAATTATTCGATTGGAGATATTGTGGATACTTTAACAGACTTCTTCCTACAGAACAACCTCAATCCAAAAAGAACCTACATCTGGATCTGCTGCCTCTGTGTCAATCAGCACAGAGTTGTGGAAAACAAGACCAAGGTGGACTTATTTTCCATCTTTGCATACCGAGTCAAGAGAATTGGGCATATATTTGGCAATGATGGCCCCCTGGACAGCACCAGTGTACGTCACTCGTGTCTGGTGTATTTTTGAAATCTTTACTGCTAACATCACAGATGGGTGCAAGGTGGATATTGTCATGCCACCAAGGAGAAGAAATCTCTAGAGCTGGATGTTGTTGACAATGGAGGTGGCATCAATGCTCTCTATGAGACACTTGGAAACACCAAAGTTGAAATGCCAAGCATCAGTAGAAGTGACAGGCGGCTATTCTTGGCCAAGTAGAATCAGATGTTGGATACTCTGTGCTCAACAATGAAGTGAATGACTTGTTGCGTGGGTGGATGCATGGTGTCCTCACTCAGTGGTAGAGCCAGAGAAAACACAAATGATGAAGAATATGTGGCTTTTGTAACCAATTGGGTATATACTTTTGAAAAATGGAGAACACGATGCTGCCATGAAACTCCACCAGACTGCTTTGGCGATTTGTGAGACTGTGTTAGGTGAGAATCATCAAGAAGCAGCAACCACCTACCACGATATTGGCCTTGTACTATGGCGTGTGGGTGACTATGACAGGGCTTTGGCAAAGCTGAAGAAGCTCTTGCCATTAGATTGTCAGCAGTGGGAAAGAATCATCTTGATGTGGCAACCACATACAACAACATTGGTTTTACATGGATATATGGGCAACTATGAAGGTGCTTTGGCAAGTATGAGGAACTCTTGCCATTGAGTTGTCAGTATTGGGAAGGAGCACCAGTGGCAGAAGCTACAACAACATTGGTGCTATCCTGGACACGATGGGTGACGATGAAGGTGCTTTATCAAAGTATGAGGAAGCTCTCGCCATTCAATTGGCAGCATGGGCAAGATCATCCATATTGCATACCTACAACAATTGGGAAATGTGAGTGGGTGACTATGACGGTGCTCTGGCAAAGCAGAAGGAAGCTCTTGCCATTAGACTGTCAGCATTGGGCAAAAATCATCCTGACATGGCAGGAAAGCTACAACAACATTGGTGTTGTTCTGCATGAAATGGGCGACTTCGAAGGTGCTTTGTCAAAGTATGAGGAAGCTCTTACCATTCGATTGCAGCATGGGCAAGAATCATCCTTATGCGGCAAGTACCTACAACAACATTGGCTAGTAATGATGAAGATGGGTGACTATGAAGGTGCTTTGGTGAAGCACAACGAAGCTCTTGCCATTAGATTGTCAGCATTGGGTAAGAATCATCCTGACGTGGCGGGAAACCACAACAACATTGGGCTTGTATGAAGAGATGGGTGACTATGAAGGTGCTTTGTTGAAGTATGAGGAAGCTCTTCCATTAGATTGTCAGCATTGGGCAAGAATCATCCTGATGTAGCAACCAGCCACAACAACATTGGGCTTGTCCTGAAAGAGATGGGTGACTATGAAGGTGCTTTGGAAGTATGAGGAATCTCTGCATTGAGTGAGCAGGAATCATCCTGATGTAGCAACCACCTACAACAACATTGGTCTAGTAATTATGATATGGGTGACTATGAAGTGCTTTGGCAAAGCACAAGAATGCTCTTGCCATTCAACTGTCAGCACTGGGCAAGGATCATCCTGAGGTGGCAACAACCCAGAACAACATTGGGGAAGTAAGAAAGATGATGATGGAAAATGCAATCGCTCGAGATGGGAAGGATCAGGTCTGGCAGAAGGAGGCCAGGAATACTTGCTTGGATTTTTATGACTAGCTATCCCGGGCTAGCTATATAGGGATGCCAAGACCGAACAAGCCCAACCGTAGGCCAACCATAAGGGCCATGCACAAAGCAAAAGCTAGAAGTTGCAAATGGGAAGAACCGCAAAGCAAAAAGCAGTAAAGCAGCAATAGCCGAAGAAGAAAAAATAGAATAACCTGTACCATGGCCTTAGACATCCAGGACAGGACGAAAGAAGATCACCCGGTCTGGGATTCAACATGCCTTGGCATGTACTGTAATTTCTCCTGGCCTCGGCTCGTGGGTCGTCCTCAAGCACATCTCGTCTGAATCCGTTACTAGACGTTCAGTTGTTGCTTTTTTGTAATCTCTCCTGGGAGCTTTCTTGCTGGTTAGGAATGCACACTGGCAGATAGGTCCATCCAAAAGGATCTGCCTACCGGGACGACTAAAACCGGTGACGATGAGCCCCAGAGCGAGATCAACGTAGTGCTTCGACAACATTTACGGACCGTAATGATCTACCTTACATTGACGAACCACGGGCGAAATTCCAAACTGATATCTACAAGACTCTAGCTAGCTAGTAGAGAAGAGGCCTAGTCTAGCTTAGAAATAGCGATCGAAGTATGTCATACATTGTTCAATGGGAGGGCAAGATCCTCTTCCTTGAGACCAAGCTGAGCCGTAATCAGTTGGCTATTAAAACCTCGCTGGCTAATACCGCAACGTGTCTTCCAACTTGGGGCGGCCGCACAGTTGCAGAACTTGGGCGGCCATACACAAAGATGAACAACTGCAGCACCCGGCCAAGAAGACATACCTAGCCAGCCAAAATTCTACGTGCACAGGGTGACTGACTATGCTGGTGCTGTGTCAAAGTACAATTCAGGAAGCTCTCTGACAACTCAAAGTGGCCGGCAACTTTGGGAAAGGATCATTCTGAAGAAGTGTATTGTTGGGCCTGACAAGAGGAAATGAACCAGTTACCCCCAAGGCAAATGTCATCAAAGCAATGTATACTCAAGGAAATGCGGTGCAGGACCAGTTTGCATCAGGATAGCAATAAGCCATCTATAGGTGCAGATTGTGTTCGAATTTGATGAACAATGTCATCAATTTCCTCCCTGTTGAACTCTGTGAGCAGCACTCTCAAGATGCGATCTCGGTCTCGCAAGCGTGATGCCTGTGCATCCAATACCGATGACTTTATTCTGGCAAAAACGTCTGGCCCAGTCACATGTGTGGTAAATGGGAAAAGCCCTTGACGGTGTGCATAGATGAGTTCGCACACGCACCAAATGCGAGAAAAAATGCGAAACCAAAGTTCCAGAGCATAACCTGTCCCACTGCCCATACTTGATCTTGGAGTACACGGTGGAGCTCTTGAGCCATCACGTCAGTGTCTAGTACGTGTCTTTCACTGCTTTCCGGAGCAGGCCTGGCGGAAAAGACAATCTTGCGCAGTCGGTTGGGTGGATACGGTTGGTAGGGTGTCAATGTGACAATTTCTCCAGGACCAATATTTGCGATTTCACGTTGCAGTTTTCTCATGGAAACCACCATATTTTGCTTGACACTGGAGCCACTGCTCACAACAAATGGCTTATTGCCATTGATGCGGACAAGATGAGAAGGGCGATAGGGATATGCGTCACGATCCTTGAAATAGTTGGCATGTGGTGCTCGGTGAAATAGACCCGCACATTCGATGGGAGAAATATAGATCTTGTTGGTGAAATAATCACCGGAGAGATCATCGTGTACCTGAAATCTCAGTTTGAATGGCGCCTCGTTGTTTTGGGTTGGTTGGTCTACCTGGGCTCCAGCATCAGCGCTATTATTGGCAGTAGCTCCAGCAGCAGCCGGTCGATCCCGCCCACAGATGGAACATTTCTTATCAGAGATGGTATTGGTAAAACATCCACAAGCCTGGCATGTCCATTTGTTTGAGCTCATGGTCACGTGATCATGCAGATCAGAAGGGTGTTATCGTTTACCTCGGCAGTCTATCTGGCTGGAGGGGGCACCGGTATCTGAAGGTACCATGGAGTACACCCAATTAAGGCTTTTAAAATAAAAAGCAGCCCCGGATTGTTCCCATTATCTTTCCGTAGTATCCACGTTTGCGACTACATGTACGGTTCACAAAGCATTAACTGCTCCAGCAATCGCGAGAATCATAAAACCAAGCCTTTTATCTACCGTACAGCTTGCCTTCCTTCTCAAAAAGTGAAGCTACTACGAATGTGCTAAACTATGTTGAAAAGACGTTCATTATTATTGCGAGCTAAAACTAGCTGGATGCGTCATCGCCGTCCTCGTCGTCGTCCTCCTCGTTGTCATTGTGGAATTGGCCGTCATCAACTTCCACGCCCAGCCATTCGATGGGCTGTTTTATCGGGCCGCTGACGACAAACTCTCCATTTGTCCTAGTGGTTTCAAAGTGCTCTTTTCCCTTCGTCTTGGCCTCATCAATTCTTGTCGAGCTTGCTGTGCCGTCATTCCGTTTCCCAGCCTTCTTTTTGCCAACAAATGCGTTTGCCACCGCCAATTGAGTTGCTTTGGCCTTCTCATTCATTTTTGCAGCAAGACCTAGCTTCTTCTTGTTGGTGCCATCCAAGTTTGTTTGGTTCATCACGTCAAACATTGCGGATAGTTGCTCTTCCATCGCTGCAATCCTCTTTTCTTTTCTTGCATTTTCCATTTCAAGCTCAGAAATCCTTGCTCTGTCAGCATCCGCCTGGGTGTAATGGTTCACATTGTCGCTGCCAAAAAGCCCAAACCGTTGCTCATCCACAGCCATGTCAACTGAACCCATCATTGTCGTGGCCCCCGTGTCCAATGGGACCGAGGACACGCCTACGCCAACATCCAGCACTTGGGCTTGCTGGAGTGTTTGACGCACTCGGTTGCTGTTCTGATCATCAGACACGTCTACTTGCCTCTCAAGCTTTTCAACTTTGCCTTCAATCCCCTCCACCTTTTCGAGTAGATCTTCAAATCCTTCCACCTTTTCAAGTAGCTGATGGAGGTCCACAGGAGGTGGCTTAACGTACTCTTCGGTGTTGGCGCCTGCTGTTGTGAGGTTGGCAGCGGAAGTACTGGTATCTGTTTTGGGGGCATCCGAGAAGAAGCCCGTCTCCCCAGTCCCTTGGGCTGTTGGCATGGTGTTGGGAGAAGCATCATCTTTCATGATACCCATCATTTGGAGCAAGAAACTGGCAACCTGCTCCGATGTTTGGTCATTTCTGATGCATTCAATTGACTCCGAATGCTCGACCAGACCCTGAGCAACCATCCCAGCATGCGCCATTGCCACCACCACGTCGGCGTCAGTGACAGATTCCTCTAGCAGCTGAAAATGTCGTGCCCGCGACTTGGCAGACTCCCACCATCCGGCAACCATCGCCTTGAGGTTGGCAACCATCGAATGCTGCCCAGTGGACAGCGTCACTTTCATTGCACCAGATTCCATCTGAAGCATCCTTTTATTTGTCGCCGCGCACGATTGCCGTGCCATGTGCAGATGCACCATTTCTGCGGACAACTTCGTGACAAATTGATCGAGATATACTCCGTCGCCAGCAGGCAGACACCCCAGGAAACAACTCGCTTTGTTGATGCAGGAAACGTCATTTCTCCTATCCACCATGAACGCAAGCATCTCCCCAACGAGCGGTAGAAGCAGTCCACCAAACGAGGCTCCTAGTTTGCCCGGGGCCCGTAGTATCTCGCTCACAATGCCAGGGCCCGCCAATCCCAAGCCCTGCGATTGCATTCGCATGACAGTTACAGTAGTGTAGAACGAATCTTCAAAGGAGCGATGATAGACTTTGGCTTGTGTGTTGTTGTTGTATTGGTCTGGGATTGGTGTGTACTGGGAAATGTTGCGATTGGGATCGAGCTGTGATTTCAGATGACCAAACATTTCCTTCCATTCAGTCATCATTTCGGGTGTCAGGTCGAAAGGCAATGCATCTCGATCGAATGTGGCCCCTCGCAAAGCAGCTTTTTGCGAGTCAGTTGCGAACTGGCGCTTTAAATCGTCATTGGGTATGCTTGAGTCCGGGAAACTGTCTTTCGAGTTCAGCTCCCCCGACGTGGCCCAGTCTTGTCCAATCAATGTTTCAGGAGGCATGGGATTGTCAATGGCTATCATGGAGGGGTCGCTGGGCGTGATTCTGGTGTTTAGCTCCACCGAAGTGCCCCTGTCTTCTCGTGTCAGTGTATCAGGGGGGTCAGGGCGCTGGAAACGGCGGTTGACTGGTTTAGCGGCAGTCTTTTCTGCGGAAGCGTTCTTTGGAAGTGGAGGCTTCGAGCGTTCAGGCGGCTCCTGTTCGACTTGGGGAGGAGCCTTCAGGGCAGAAGACGCAAGCCACCGATGCCGGAATGCCCGGGCTACATCGAGTCTATCGTCCTGAAGCTTCAATAGCTCGTGGATGAAGCCCTTGCAGTTGTCAGATACGTTGTTCCATGTGTCTCCGTTGAAGTTGAATTCCAAACTCAAAGTTTTGACACGATAGTCATCCTCGTCAAATGCCTCCCAAGGCAACCTGCCAGATAAGATTCTGTAAAGAAGGACCCCGAAGCTGAAAAGGTCGACCCCCATCCTATACGCCTCGCGTGTATATATTTCAGGTGCAACGTATCCAAGGGTCCCACAGTAATCCGTTGCCGCGTCGCTTTTTCCAAGAACTTTTGACTGTCCAAAACCGACGAGTCGAAGGCTTTCAAAATCATTACCCTGAGAGTCCTACGCAAAGTAGAAAACGAGACGAGCGCACTTGAGATTGATGCATCCTTACTTGCAGTTCCATCACACGATCCGTACTTACTCCAAAGACGAAATTCGCTTCTTCAATGTCCCTGTGTACTATATTGTGACTATGAATGAAACGGATGGCTCTCAACATTACCAGAGCAGCAGCTCGAGCATGCTGCTCTTCGAACCACCCGCCTCGACGATCGAGCAACTGTCTCACGTTCAAGCCCAATTTCTCTGTCACAATCTCCAGCTCGCAAGTTCCTATGTCGTAAAAGAACTCAATAAGCTCCAAAACGTGGTTTGCCTGTGCCTCTTCACGCAGGAGTACAAGAGATTTGATTTCCTCACATCGCTGTTCGCAATCATCGTACGAGACGATGGGACCAGTAAGATCAAAGTCCCACGGTTTGGTGCATTTCACAGCAAAGCTCTGTTTCGAAGAGATCCCTGCCCCGCCCGTGTGTTTGCATGAGAAAACGGTGCCAAATTTGCCCTTGTCTAGCTGTCAAACCCGCCAAGGCAACGCCCGTGTCAGGAAGGAAGCTTGAAAATATGCCTTGGGCGCACAAGCAAGATTGAAAGTATCACGTACACAAAGAACTGATCTGTCGTAGACGTCACCAAACAAATGGCCATTGCGAGCATTGATGCTCACATGAAAGTTCGAATCGCCACGGTAGAGCACTGGTGGCTTTCCATCCTCTTCAGGAACCAGATCCTCGGGTGCTTCGAGCCGTTCTAGCCACTTATGGTCCAAAGCTTCTTGGGTAGTCATTCTCTCCTCTCGATATGCCACCAGCTTTCGAACAAAGTCCAATCCGTCAAATGAGACACCCTTCCATTGCTCAGGAATGATTGTGTACTCCAGATTGACAGTCTTACCGCGAACTTCCTCAGCCGGCCCAACTGGCCATGGGCGTCGGCCAGACAACAGTTTGTACATCATGACACCGAAACTAAACATATCAACCTCAAAGCGGTAAGGATAATGATTGTAGATTTCTGGAGCTATATAACCCGTGTTGCCGCAAAAAGCTTTCTCAAATTGACCATCCTCCAAGACTTTGGCTAGCCCAAAATCCACCAATGTAAGAGTGTCGATGGCATTGGGTCGCTGCGACAAAAGCGTTGTCAGTTCCGCATATGCATCATCATCGTGCATTTTAACAAAGAGGGGGCTCACCTTGAAGCAAAATTCCGCTTCCTTAATGCTTCTGTGGACAATTTTTCGGCTGCGAATGAATTGAATTGCACTGAGGACTGCTCGGGCGACTTGTTTGCCTTGATTCTCAGTGACAGAAGTCTGATCTTCGACCCAGTCTCTCAGGTTTTGTCCCAGGAGTTCAGTGACAATGTGGAGCTCTTGGGTTGTCGGCTCGTAAAAGAACTGATAAAGCAGCAGAATGTTGGCGTGCTTTGGTTGTCTCTGAAGGATGCTCAGTGTGTGGATCTCTTGACACCTTTTTTCAACGTCATTGTAGGTCAGAATTGGACCCTTTTGGGTATCCAATGCATTTGGCTTTGTGATTTTGACAGCTTTCTTTGTGCTTCTGAAAGCATTCCTTAATTTTGAAATCTTCTCTTGGCACACAAAGACTGCTCCAAAATTCCCACTGTCAAACTTCACCATCCCAAGAGAAATCAAGAAGTGAGACAGAAAAAGGAAAAAGGCAGTGCCTATACTGGTAGGTACCTACCCTGACTATATAGCTAGCTAGCTAGCTAGCTGCAGCCCTTACCTGCTCGGCGTTCTTTCCGTATATTTCTCCAAAGTCGAACCCATTGCGACCATATTCGCAGAAATCGAGCACTACTTCATTGGCTGTGGGTATTTTTGGCTTGGGAATATGGCCGTCTTCATAGGCTTGCAAGACTTTGGCCGGGACTGAAGTTGGGTTGCATTTGATACACACTCCCTTATGGACATGGTCGTTTGTGATGGGAGACGTTTTGAAGAATGAAACCGCATGCGTCTTCATTCCACATCGGACACACAGCCCCTTGCGTTTTGCTATCGCTGCTCGTTCTTCCTGGGTCAAAGCTGTTCCATTCTTGGCAAAGTGAGGAACAACATCGTTGTTGACAAACCGATCGGGAATGCCACTCATGTTGATTTCTCTGATTTCCGTATTCCGTACGATGAATGATACCGTACCAGTATATCAGAGAACGAAGACAAAATCGTATGAAGACAACCTGCCCCACCCCTTCAAAGATAGATTGGCAGCTGGATATCCGTGGGGAGCCACACTAAATAGAATTCTATTTTAAGGCTACTCTGAGTACGACTATCCACCGTGCCGCTACCCTAAACCGATAACCCCCACAAACATTGGGGCGGAGAGAGTTGGCCCCCTCAGTCGGGAAAGTTTAAAACCCAACCGAGGCAAGATATTAAGGGGAAGGTCACCAACCGGACCCGCCCGTGCTGCTGCTGTCATCAGCACTGCTACTAGCTGCACTATTGCTGATAGTGTCAACACTGCTGTCATCTAAATCAAGGTCAGACCCGAAAGCCTGATCCAAAGTTGCTGCTGCCTCATGGAAGGCTGCGGCCAGTTGTTGCTGCTCTCTACTTGCTTTGTCCACCACTGGCATCCAATTTGAAAGCCAGGCTTTGATATCGGATGGTGCCATTTCCATTTGGTCCTCTAGCTAGTGGCCTTTTGAAAATGGAGTTGACAAGAGACAGTGGCACCTGGTCTGCCTGCTCATACAGAAGCTCTACTTCCCGTTGAAGCTGTTGCTGCTTCTTGATCCACTGCTGCTGTTTATCACGTCCATGCCTGGCTGCATTGCCGTCATCCCACAGTAGAAACCATTGTTGGAGTAAGAGATGAGCCAAGTTGGTAGTCCATATGGTACCGTTTTTCTTGGATGTATGCTTTTGAACATGATGGAGATAAGTCTCCCTGGTGCTTGGTCCACAATTTGGAGAGTCGCCCTTGAGGAAGTTGTTCCACCCAATGTGGTTCTGGTCGATGACCAGTTGATCATACCTTTCTGGGAACTCAGATGGGTAAAGATGCTTGCCTGGCGAAGAAGCACTCGAGCCCTTGCAAAGCAATGGCTAACAGGGATGGATCAGTATCACATTGCGCAGTTGTTTGCTGACAGCCTGCATGGTTGTCCTCCACAGTGTTGTCCGAATTCCCTCAAGGTACATGCACTGACTATAACACAACGTACTACGGTTCCATACCGCAGCTTGATGGAAATTCAATGTTTCAGATACACCGATCCCGAAACATTAGGGTCTTCAAAGCCTCTCACTTCTTTGAGTTTTTTCTTTCCATTCAGGGGAGGGATGGGTTCAGAGAAAGAAAGGGGCGGAGAGGCAAAAAAAGTTACTTCTCCGAAAAAGCACCTTTTTAGGTGCTTTTTCGCTCACAATTTTTCTTTTCTTACTTTTTGGGTCATCTCTGACGTTGCTCGGTCATCTCATATACTTAAGGAGGAGTGGAGAAAAATCGCGAAGAACAAGCTGGTACAAAATGAAGCAAGCCAAAGAATTAAAAGGTGGGCATGAAAGAAGTCATTTTGGAACTAATGGAAGTCTTTGATGCTTGTGACGTATCCAACGGAAAGCACGTCCAAACATGTTTACGGTGGTCATGTTTGCACCTCTCCGGTAGCTCTCCGGTAGCTCTCCGGTTCATCCCAAAATCCCATCTTCTTCCCCTCTTTTGCCTCCCCTGAATGGAAAGAAAAAAGTCAAAGAAGTTAGAGGCTTTGAAGACCCCTATTATCCACGTCTGCAGGTCATATTTTTAATAATGCAGCACAGTGGCTTAATAAAAATGTTCTTAGACGGAAATGGCGGAGCAGAGTTGCCATCCAAAGCCAGAGGAGCAGCTCCCTGTGCTGCTGTCAGCTGGTCTTCCTTCTGCTCTACTGCTGTCGGAGGCACTTCTGTTGTAACCTCGCACAGTTTGCTGGTGTCACCAATGCTGTTATCCAGATCCTCGCGTTCTGGTTCCGTATCCGGTTGACCATTCTCTTCTCCGCCACTCTTTTTACACGTACAGCAGGCAACAAGGAGGGGATAGACCATGGTTTCCAGCACCATGCCAATGGCAATCGACGTGACAAAGATACCCAAGGCAACATTGGTCAAGACTGAAGTATACGCCGTCTGAGAAATGCCCAAATCTTGGCTTGTTTCCGAGTACACCACCAACGACGTGACGCCCCACAAGGTTTGCAGAAAAATCAAGCAGTACGCACACGGATTGCATCGTCTCGATTCGCGGGCCAGCATGTATTTTACCAAGGGATTCAAAATGAGATACGAGAGTAAGACACCGTAGACACTCAAAGCAATCGTATCGAGCCATTGAGCATAGTCAGGACACGGATCAAAAGGACTCATGGTGTGCCACTTGTCCTTGTCTTCTTCGCCCAAGAGACTTCCAACGTACGCGTAGCAGCAAAATTTGGTGCGGCTGCATTCCCGCAACGTTGCGTCCACAGGGCAATCGGCAAAGGCATCTTGGATCTTATTATTGCCGGCCCACGAAGTAATGACATACGGGTTCCATTCGTCAACTCGGAGCGATCCGTCGGCAGGAAGAGAAAACGTAGCGTTGCCCGTCTCGTGGCAAAAGGCATCTTGCTCAGTATCACGGAGGCATGCGCACGTGGCGGCTGCTACAGCGTCGGTGGTTCCAATAATGGAAACGATCATGACCTGTGTGTGAGTGGGAAACGTTTGTGTGGGAGGTTGAGTTTGGAGGTTCAGCAAGACCAACTACGCCCGTACCGGTATCGGACGTACCTGAGTGCCAATGAAACCCAAGAGCGTTCGCAACGGGTAAACGCTTTGTCATGTTTCGCCATGAAGATTCCAAAAAAGACATGGTCCCTCAGGATCTGCAGGAAATCTTCCTTGACCTTTTGCTGCCACGACGTTGGCGTAACTTCGTTTTCGTTTTCTTTTTGGAGCTCGTCATTGGTTTCGTCCAACTCTTTGGTTGGTGGATCTTCTACCTTCTTCGCCGTCAAGGAAGGATTCGTTTTCTGTGAGATCATGATTTTTAGCAATGAGTTTTGTTCGAGGGACCTGTGATGAGTACGAGGTTTTTGATGGAGTTGTTGTTGGTTCAATTGTGAGCCTACTAGTACCTGTATCTCGGGCACACGTTTCGTCCATACAGGTAGACTTCACAAGATCGATCGATCCACGCTACCGGTATACCACGCAAGAAAAGAACAAAAGTGAGGTATAGGTGCATGCGCTCTTTTCGCGCGAAGCTTCACTACGTGAATAATGGAAGCCGATATTAGTAGCTTTTGGAAAAGCAAAAGATCTGATTCGATTCGTGCCACTGTGCCGATTTTGGATAACGCGTTTGTACCGGTGCTGCACACGACTCCATAGTTCAACAAAAGAGATAAGCTACTGGTACCGGTACCATAACCAGTAGCATGTTTCACCATGGATCTGCCTCTAAGGTATCTTGCTTCCGACCACATTTCCATCTCCGATGAAGCTCCCGGTGATGTGGCCCATAGCAACTGGTTCTTTGGGTTCCTCAGCATGCCGGAACAGAAGCCGCCCCACTGGTGGCTTAGCCCCTTTAGAACGCTCTGCATGGGAGTCTCCTCTGGCTTCTGCAGCAACGGGGATGATCTTCGGGCTGCCAACCTGGACAAACAAGATCAGGGTGTCCTTCCCCGGTTGCTCAATGGGCGCAAGTTGGCGGTGCCGTGGAGGTCCAGCATGACTTGGTTCAGATGATCATTCTCGTTAGCAATCCTGCGTTGCTCATTTTTGGGTTCTTCAATCTCTTGGAAGCAAGCTATCTTGTTTGGGACATCTTTGGCCCCCGCTCTTGATCGCAGCCGATGTACATGTATTCGCGTGGGCAGTCAAGAACAAGATGAATTAGAAGAAGGCTTGCTATCATGAGACCAATATCTATCTCGAGGAAAAGTTGCTGGAATCCGAAGGTGCTGTCTAAGCAACAATATTTCAGGACTCGACATGCTATAATTAAGAAGGAGAAAACAAGTAAGCTATGTCGTCCAATGTGTTGTTTTCAATAAATTTCTATATTCGGTTTACTGTTCATTTCTACGTTCAGTAGATTGCTCCATTCACTCGAAATGTTACCGTATGTACATTTTTCGAGAGAGGCAAATCAGTTCCATGCTTAGTTGAGAAGGTTCTCAATAATTCCCTTTCCATTGACAAGTTCTTGGGCAAGGAAGCCAGCAGCGGCAAGCATGGCAAGGCGTCCATTCTGGAGTTCCTTGGTTTGCATTTGAAAGAACTCAGAAGGATCTTCGGGCTTCAATCCAAGGGGATCAAAGCCGATGTCACCGGGGACATAGGTGTCCCTGAGGAGACCAGGCTTGTCAAATGGCACATTCTTTGGCTCAACCCAGCCAATTTCAGCACGCTGAGTCTCAGCCTTGGCAATACCAGCACCCAACAAAATCCAGAAGACAGGGTTGACTTGAGCCAAGTGAGTGATAGCGGGTCCAGTGACTTCACCATTGAAGAGGTAGGTCTTGCTCTCGACAGCTTCACCAACCAAGAATCCAACAGTTGCGAGCATGGCAACACGTCCGTGGGTCAATTCGGCTTCACGGTATCGCTTGAGGGTCGGCTCATCGGCCTTTGCAGCAAAACCAAGGGGGTCAAAGAGTCCAGTAGGGGCAAGGGCACCCGGAATGCTGTCAACAGAGAAAGCAGAGGCCGAAGCGGCAAGAAGGGAAAGGGCGGCAACGATCTTCATCTTTATTGGCTTTGTTGTTTTTCTTGGTGTTTTGAGCTTGTCAACTTTTGAGATTGTGAGGACTTCGAGGGACGAGCGATCCTTCATTGATTTGGAAACCACAGTGAGCATTGGGATGACTCATCGTGAGCGATAGCTACACTCTGCGCTGTTCATACGCACTCAACGCATAGATTGACTACGAATTCATTGATGTGGTGGACCCACCACCAATGAAAGAATGGGTGGTGATGGTCTCGATGAATCATTCAATGCGCGGAACCAAAGCAAGCTGATTCGATTCCATTCTATCGGAAGTGTTGTTTGAGCTGTTGTTTGCAATTGTGATAGTGGCTGGATCTTTGGATCGATGACTCAGGCAGGTTGGGCTGGTGGCACGACTGATCCATCAACTGCGTAGAATTGGATCCAATGCGTCCAGCACACGTCATGTTCCGAGAGCCACATCATCGATGACGCAGATCATGTTACAGGAACTAGCACATGTATTTCTATGCATAAAGAAAGGGGGCAGCATGCTAGCTTCCATCGTGACGGTACTACCTCAGTATGCCTTGTTTTGCCTTTGCCTTCCCTGATTTTGGCTGGAGTTATTCCAATTCAAGTTCGATTGGAACTACCCATGCCTTTCCTCTTCGATCTCTGTCGCCATCTGGCCGCGCTTCTAAAGTTGTGGAGTAGCAAATGATTACTTTACCTTTTCTAGTTTTAGTTTAACTGCTGGTACAACTTGCTATTGTGATGGAGCTAGTTGGTCTGCAGAACAACACCGTGACACAGAAAGAGGACAACTACTTTTACTAATGATTTCTTTTCTGCTGTACTAAGATGGTCGTACCGTACTAGTAAATAACTAAACACATTGACATTCATTGCAGGGACATTGGATGGGAAATGGATCAGGAGCACAATCCACTCGAATCCATGCTAAATCTGGGTTGGCACATAGATCAATGGGCACACTTCCCACCAACTGGTTGTCATTCAAACTCATGCTTCCCAAAACAGTCAACAACCCAAGCTCATCTGGGATGCTTCCGCTCAAGTTGTTCTCGTGCAAACCCAAGGCGGTTAGCTTGCTCAACAATCCTAGCTCACTGGGAATCTCTCCTCGCAAAAAGTTGGGCCCCAACCCCAAAGTTGTCAAGTCGGTCATGAGCCCAATCTCCGAAGGGATGCTCCCAATCAATGCATTCCCATACAAGCCCACAAACTGCAACGTCGTGGACAATCCAAGTTCAGTGGGCATGTTGCCCGTCAAGGAATTGTCCCACAAGCTCAACCTCGTAAATGCCGTCAACAAACCTAGCTCCGAGGGAATGGGTCCATTCAAATTGTTATTGTACAAATTCAGCTCCATCAAAGCGACCATGGAGGCTACTTGACTCGGGATTAAACCACTCAACCGGTTGTCTCGGATGCCAATATTAGTCATGGCGGATAGACACCCTACTTCCGATGGAAGGGTCCCCGTCAAACTATTCCTTGAGAAACTCAATTCTTGCAAATTCGTCAACAACCCGAGTTCGGTGGGAACTCCTCCCGTGAGTTCATTTCCAAACAAACTCAATCGCGTCAATGCCGTCAACCATCCAATGGTGGTGGGGATGGTTCCCGTCAATCCTTCGGATCCGCGATCGAGTTCCACCGTGGTGGCCACATCGTACGTGACATTAAAGAGCTCGACGGTGGGAGGTGTCAACGACATTCTTTCGCTGGTGGTGGAAATGGTATCATGACGGGTCTCGCACTCGCCATCCGCGGAACAAGTGGTCGTAATGGTGGTGGTGATGATAGTCGTGGTAATGGTATAGTTTCCATCTTCGGGATCCACAGTAGTGGTCGTATTGAGACTGGCCGTTACCACTTGCGAGAGCATCAGCCACAAGAAGAGAAGAGGAGCCGTCCATGCAGCATGACGTTTCGTAGAACCAAGGATGATCATCTTGTCTTGTTTCTGACAAGGGTTCTGCTAGGTGCTTTTGAGAAAATAGATGCCTTGTGTGGAGTGGACGAAAGCTTTCTTGGTCGTTACAAAGGATTTTGTCGGTGGAGTTCTGGTTGCCAAGGTTGTTTCTCAAGAAATTTGGTGACACGAAAGAAGCGGACCAAAAGATACTTCCGAGTGAAGATCCAGTGAAGATCTTTGAAACATCCCCGACTGGACAAGAAGGATCTAAATCTTTCCTTGACTTTTCAATCACAGAACCCTTGCAGAAACTCGAGCCTTACCGTTGATTTGACGATAATTTTAGCGTTAGAGCTTGTTGGTTACACTTTCGCCGCACTTCTATCTTCATCTCATTTCTTCATTTCTTTAGTTAGTTGAAGACAAAGAAGATGAAGTTATTTCCGAGTTCCACACGCCGCCGTTCGTCTCGTCTTTTCTCTTCTACGACGTCTTGTGGTTCCTCCTCTTCCTTATTGGATCAGTTGCAAGACCCCAAAGTGCACAATCCCGCCTTGTCGAATCAAATCGATTTGCTGGGAGTCAGTGTGCATCATTTCGTTACCGTCTTCTTGCCATCTGTGTTGGAGGAGTATGGCGACCATGGCGGGGAGCGTCGCTTCATGGACATTGAAAATCTCAAATCGCCACACGGCTTTGTCCGTCAAAAGGGCGCTTCCACCAAATGTCCACTCGACGGTCAAATGGGCGCCGCTTACGTCCATACGCTACAAGGCGAGGATCACGTCGGTCCTTCCACGGCCATGCTCAGTTGGACCTGGAAGTATACGGTTAGTGGAGTCGTAGAGACCCTTAAAGACTACTGCGAAGAGCATCGATTCAACCCCAAGAGAACTTATATTTGGATGTGTTGTCTCTGTGTCAATCAGCATCGGTGAGTTGAAAATGATAGATGAAGTCAGTCGTGTTTTGTCATTTTACTTATTTCAATTCAAATGGCAATTATGTTGTCCAAATGGTGTTTCATGGTCTATTGGAGATGACTCACAAATTGCATTTTTATTTATTTGGTTCTCATTTTGGTTGTTTCATGTCCATTTCATTTCTTCTTCATTCATTTTTTATCATTTCTTGTCTTTTTTTTCAGAGTGGTCCAAGCCAACCACTCGGGCATGCTCAACAAGTCCAGTTTGGATTTTCAAAACGAATTCCGAAAACGTGTGCTGGGTATTGGAAGAGTCCTAGCCATGATGGGGCCATGGGATGATCCAGAGTATCTCAAGCGCGTTTGGTGCATCTTTGAATGCTTTACGGCCATTCACGGGGATGTGGACATTACCATTGTCATGCCACCCAAAGAACGAGAGCGCATGAGTCGCATTCTACTGGGATCCAGTGATACTAGTTCTAGCAATACTAGTACTAGCAGTCAGCAAGAACGACAGTCCAGTTCGACATCACTCAATCAAATTCAAGAAGAAGGACAAGGAGAAACCAAACAAGGAGAAACCAAAGAAGAAACCAAACAAGGAGAAGCACACAGTAATACACACCAACCTCCTCCTCCCAAAGAAACCTCCTCCTCCATGTCAAGTCCCAAGTCATCGTCATCATCATCATCCTCACAACACCAAAAACAATTACTCCGATCTTCTTCTTCCTCCTCTTCGTTGGCACCACCCTTGGCCATGCATCCACATGGACTCCATCAAGGAGGAGTCGATGCCCTCTACAAGGCACTCTCCAAAATATCCGTACAAAATGCACAAGCTACGGTCCAAGAAGACAAGATACAAATCATGAATATTCTACAAGAATCACAGTTGGGATTTGATGCCGTCAACAAACAGGTCGCCAATTACTTGAGAGAATGGGTACGACGCGCCATTGATGTCATTGTACTAGAGCAAGTAGATCGTATGGAACAGGCCGCCAAGGAAGAATCCAAAGAAATACTCAATCAAAATGAATCCGATGCGCTCGAACGGGAAAAACTCACCATGAGACGATACCGGCTCACGCATGCGGCATTCTGTACCAATGTCGCCATGCTATTTCAACGCAATGGAGAATTTGATGCTGCTAGTGAGTATATAAATATTGTGTATAGTATTGGGTGTGTCTATTATATGGTTTGTGGTTGTCTCACAATCTTTCTTTGTTGTCACCAGTCGAAATGTTCCAAAAGAGTCAAGCCATCTACGAATTAGAATTGGGGGAAAATCATGCCTACACGGCGGCCACACTCAGCAATATTGGGTCGGCATTCATGGCACAGGGACAGCATAAAAAGGCTGAAGAAATGCTTCATCAAGCCATCAACATTCAAAAATCACTCCCCGAAGCACACCAAAAAAACATGGCAACCACATATGCCAATCTAGCACAAGTATTGCATGGAAAGGGAGACTTTGACAATGCACTGCAAATGTACAAGCAAGCTGCCAAAATATCCGAAAAATTCTATGGCAGTGATCATCAAGCCACGGCACCAATCTACAGTTGCATGGGATCTTTGCTGCTGCTCAAGGGATGTCACTCGGAAGCACTCGTCAATTTTCAAAATGCACTCGAAATATTCAAGGTCACGCCCGGAGAGAATCACCCCGACACGGCCAAAACTTACAGTGACATTGGACGCATCTACCATGGACAAGGAGACTACGTCAAGGCACTGGAAATGCAAGACAAGGCCATTGCCATTCAAGAAACCGTACTGGGGAATCACGTACACACGGCAACCAGCTATCTCAACAAGGCACGGTCACTACAGGCCAAGGGAGACTACGACGATGCACTCATTGTCTACAGCAAGACGCGAGATATACTGGAACGAAAGGTGGGACGCATGCATCCCACCACGGCGGCCACGTTTTGCAGTTTGGGTTCGCTCTATCAGGCCATGAAGAAATACCCGGAAGCCGTGGACATGTACCACAAGGCACTCAAATTCTACGAAGTGGCATTTGGGAAGGATCACTTCTCCACGGCCCGTGTCTACAGCGAATTGGGATCGGTGTTGCACGACAAGGATGAACGGGGTGATCAAGGCAAAGCTTTGACGATTCTGCGACGAGCTCAAGCCATTCAAGAAGCCTCGCTGAATCATTTGCATCCGAGTCTGGCAACAACCTACTTGAATCTGGGCCGCGTTATGAAGGCCAAGAAGGATTACACGCACGGCATGGAAATGTATAAAAAGGCTCTCGCCATTCAGGAGAAGATTCTGGGCAAGAATCATCCGACAACGGCATCGACGTACAGCAGTGTGGCGTCCTTGCTGGCAGCCATGGGCAAACGAGCCGACGCCCTGGCCGAGTACCAAAAGTGCCTGGCCATTCAAAAAAAGGTGCTGGGCTCCAAGCATCCACTGACCGTCAAAACGATGCGCAAGATGAAGAGTTTAAAATAATAGACAAACAACACTGTTTTTGCTTTTGCAACAACCGTGTTATGCGTGTAGCTATCGCCATAGTGGTCTTTGGAGTTGATGTTCAAAGGTAGGAGAGAGTCTCGTCTTCGGTAGATGCGTCCGCCGGGCCAACGGTCTGCTGACCTGAACCGACTCGAGAGCAGGATCTCGGGGTTCTCCTCCTGATCTATGGTCCATGGTCCGCACCTCGAACTCACTCATACCTCGAATCCATATTTGATCAAACGACGGCATGTAAGGATTGACGAGGCCTCGCCTGCATTACGAGAATTCTGCAGACCCTGGCGTGTCTACAGCTACTCCTCCGGTCGTGCGGATACAACCCAATAAGTCTTCGTCCGTCCTTTACCTTTTGGATGGTGTAGTCGAAAGTGCGATCAGTGGTGCCAAGATCAAGAAAAGTACGACACAAGACACTACATGAAAGCCTTACCTTTCATGTCAACCTCCCCTCGTGGATGTACAACGATATCGGGTGCTTGCTGACACAACAGATCTCTTGTGTAACCTGAACATTGAATCTTCTGCGGCTTGGATTGGCTTCCCAAGTTTGATGCAAGCGAAACGGATTGTCCGAACAGAGAGAACCTGGGACGAACAGCTACAGTTGGTGGATGACAGAAATCACAGTTGAGTTCGCCCAGAAATGATGAGCCGACAGCAAAGAAACGCAACTGCAGGATGGACTTACACCCCACAAGGCTGGTGACGACAGGACCAGCATGGAAACCCACTTTGATTTGGACCGTTCTCTTTTCTGGGACGTCACCACCAAACGTTAAGCTGCCAGCCTCGGCTACAGCATCTAATGCGAATTCGGCGGCTCGTTTGGTGTGATCAGGTTGGTTCCCCATCAAATTGGCAACCGCGACTGCAGAAGAGAACGAAACAGGTGTTGGATTGTTGAAATTCGAAACGCGGTGTCATGCCTGGCAAGGTACTTACGGTAGCCGTCGCCAATCGTCTGTACGGTGAAGAGTCCGTGCTTGTGCGCCAGATCATCGAGAAGCTGGAACATCTTGTCCAGCATTGCTGGGCAAATCCCTGCGATTTGTGACAACCCCGCCACTTCCACGAATACAATCGATACGGAATCGTGGGACTCCGGCTCCACTTTCTCCCCTCTCGCCAAGGCATTTGCCACGTGCTTTGGAAACTTTTCATAGAGCACACTATGACGATCGTTCCAATCCAACGACTTATCCAATGGTCCACTGTTTGAGGGTCTCTTGCGGAGCGGGTTGTAGGCATTGGTCGGTTCAATGTTCTCCACGTGAAGACACTTCAGTCTTTCGTCCAGATCTTCTGCAGTCGGTCGCTCACGAGGATCAGGTTTCCAACATTGTTTCATGAGTTCAAAAATTTGTGGAGGACACGATGCGGGAACCATGGGGCGCTTATTGACTAAGGGGTCGCAGACCAGCCTGAGAACAGCTTCCGCATTGAGGCCTTCGTAGGGATTCTTTCGCGAATAGAGCTCCCAAAGCACCACCCCAATGCTGTACATGTCACTTGCCGTGCTGTTTGGGTTCCCCAATAAGAGCTCTGGACCCATGAAGTATGGCTGCATATTCCAAACAGAGAACGACGTGAGGACCAGAAGCATGACCAAACAACTCCGCAGAACCGATCAACTCGACGTACCGTGCCACATGCATGCCCATTCTTTGTCTTCTGCGAGAGCCCAAAATCAGCAACCTACGAAAGAAGTGATTGTTAGAGGTGATTGTTAGAGGTGATTGTGAGAGAGGCAAACAAGTAGTACACAACCTATTGTGACAGTCAGACCCACCTTTGCTCTGAAACCAGCCGCGGAAATCAGGACGTTTCGGCTTTTCATGTCGCCATGAACCACTGCCGGATCGGAGGAGTGCAAAAATCTGAGTCCTTGCGCAATGTCTCGCATCACTACCAAGAGAATTTCACCCTCTAACACTACGGTTTCATTGTGTAGTAAGTCATACAGGGATCCAAAGCTCATGTGTTCCATCACCAGCAGAGGTTCTGTTTCGTGCGATACGACGGCACCAAGGACGCAAGTCACGCATGGATGCCGTAACTTGCTGAGCAATCGCATTTCTTTTTTGAAGTCTTGTTTCAATCGTTCGTACCGATCAGGTTCTTCAAAACAGAACGCATATAAGCGCGAGGTTTGCTTTCTCACTGTGCCTCCAATAGTGGGCGCCCCCTTGCTGTTGCCTTGGTACCGTTGGAGGGAATTCATGAAACTTTGGGACAAGGAACCTGCTTGGTATCCCGAAACTGTCCCAAATTCATCATTGGAAGATCCAACTTTAGAAGATCTGCTAACATTGCCGCCAGCTGAAGAGCTCAAGCCCTGACCAGTCGTTCTCAATATCACAGACCTCAGCATTGCCACCTTGACCATGGCTGCTGATTGTCGTTGTCGCAGGAGGAATGTTTCTCGGCGGCAACACTTTTTTGACGGCCACCTTGGTACCGTGATAGTCTGCCAACCAGACCACCCCAAAGGTTCCCTGTCCCAATACTACGGGCGGTTGAGCGAATAGGAGATCGTCGGGATTGATTTCCCAAATCGAATCCGCTTCTCGCCTCTTTTGCTGGACGTAAAGGAAACTGGTCAACGCCACCATGACACCAAATGGTGCGAATAATGCCGGCAAGAGAATAAAAATGGAAATACAGGAACCACCCAGAGTCACATATTGTCCCTTACAGACACATTCTCCATCCACGTTGGGTTCAAAATGTTGAGATCCACGCTCGGCCACGCAGTCCTTTTGGGACACAATGACTCGAAGAGGTGATTCTGCAATTTGCGTTCCACCCAAGTAAATTTCCAAAGTTGTAACACCGAGAAAATCCGCACCAATGTTGAATTCATAAACGTAATTTCCCAGGTAGCCGACTGGAACGTTGTTGGATTCTTCTCCTGCATGCAGTACAACTCCCATGGTTTGATTATCGCGTTGTCGATTGTCCATGGCTCGTAATGTCAATGGTTGGTGATGGAGTGTGGATGCACAAAGACTCATTTTGGCACATCCCACATGGTTATCGTCGTCGCCATCGTCATTGGTATTGTCAACACCAAAGACATCGACATCATATCCTGTCTTGCATGGTTTACATACGCATTGGTATCCTTCTTGGCATTCCAACCCTCGACTGGCACATCCCTCCTGGACTTGCTGTGGAGTTTTGAGCAAATGTCCCTCCGGACAGGTAATGGCGTCATAGAGACTATTGTGGCGTACACATTTCCATTGATCAGCATCCGTATCGATTCGGATAAATCCGGTGGCTTCATGCATGGAGCGCAAAGGCATGTACGAAAGTGTGGTCCGCCATCCTGCGTATCCTCCCGCCATCATGGCCGCATGGGCTAGTTGGGCAATGGTTCGTGTGGTATCACAGGGATATTTATTGTGGGGTTCATCCTCCAAAAATACAGAGAGTGGCAGCGAATCACAATGGTGTCCCGATGTGGAGGAATGATTCTGGAATGCCAGCTCACACTGTTGCATTCTGAAGCCCGCTTGGGCATGCTTTTGGATTGCCATCAAGGCTTGCACGACCGCAAAGGACACGTCTTCTGGTACATGAGGCAACGCCGCAATATTCCATTCGGGATACAGTTGCTCCGTGCTCGATACGAATGGAAAGACGATTCCATTGTCCAGAGTCTGCGGTGGTTGTGGATTGATAATCTTGAACCGTTGCAAAAAGTCTTGCACAGGTTCTTGACCGTGCGAGTGTTCCAATTGATCCGTCCGTATGAATCCGACTTCAAAGTGTCCGTCGAGCAATCCCTGCACGATCTTGCCCTGATTGGACGTAAAGACGAGTTGCTTGGGATCTTGAATGTAGCTAAGTCCTGCACGTTGCATTTCTCGGAATTGCATTTGTCCACTGCCAAGACCGGATATGGATGCCGCTGCAATGACCTTGTCCTTGAGATCCTGAATGGAATTGATGGCCGTATTGTTTTGCAGGGTAGCAATGACACCACCAAAGCGGGTAAGATCATACGTCTTCTCCGCCACCTTGTGCCGTGTAATGATGGATAGCAAGCTCTGAGCGCCATGTTCACTTTCCATGCAACTAAACGCAGAAGGATTGAGATAGATAAAGTCCACTTGCTGGTTCTCCACCAGGGAATACGTTTGTACAAAGTTCAGCGGAACCATTTCAAAGCTTACTCCTGACAGCTGACTGCCTGCTGTAGAAGTCAGGTAATCCCCAAAAGTCGTGTTAAACGATGCATACGCCTGAGCCTCGCCTCGAATGGCCAAGACGCCCACACGGTAGACTCTGCCATTGTGGCTGTTGGTGGTATTGGATGCTGTTGCAACCAGCGGGGGAGGAGGACAATAGTTGTCTGGATACTCCAAGGGATCCTCCCAGTACCTACTAGATACATAGCTGTTAGCTGTACTGGTACCGTTGGGATCTTCTACTACTAGGCCGTTGTTACTAGTAGTAGGGAAACCATCCTCGGCCAACGGTACCCTTGCCGCCTCTCCTTGGGCATTCCTGAAGTTGTTGCTGCCACTGCTACTGCACACTATGATGAGAATCAGCAAACAGCGAAGTAGCAATGCTGACTGGAGAGACGGCTTTACCGGTAACAGCAAGGTCATTGTGGACATTGCTCTTTCTCCTTTTGTAATAGTTATGTCAGGACGCCACAGAAAATGGGCCTTTTGGTGTTAGCATAGATCCAGCTAGCTAGACTAATGCTGGCACTGCCCACACACGATCGAGCTGGGTTCAGAGTTCAGAGATTGCCAACCACCTTTTCACTGTAGATGGTTTACATGTACGTGGTGGCGTGGCTCGTCCGGTGACAGTAAGGGACTGTTCGGCAAACGTACATGTAATAGTGAGCGACTACGTGTATGTGCAGTAATTCATTCGATGCATCATTCTTGTGGCTACCATGCATTATAAACGCTAATGAGCAGTGGCCCGTGATCATCCCACTGCATGGGAAGCCGCTGTTCCGCAAACGTAATCCAGATATCATTCGATTCTTTCCCTGATTCTGGCAGTGAAGGCATCCTGCAGCCGGTGGCGAGACGGTGGCTGTATCATCAACTTCCGAGATCAAATTAGTCCAAGACTCAGAGTGACTTGGTTTCGTTTCAGATAGATCAGCACTCTCCACTATCAATTGAGGGACGTTTGATAGAGAAGCAGTGTTATGAAGAATAGTTATGTTAAAACTGGAAAGAGACATTGCTGCTTTCATCCAACAAATCAATAAGCAAACAAGCAGTGTAACGGTGCACAATTGATCCATTGCACTAAAAAGCCCCAGACTGAGCCAGATCAAGGTCACCAGTGGCCATGACATCCTCAACGCACACATCTTTGTTCTGACGAGCCCATTTCAAACAAGTCTTCTCAGCAGCACTGCGAAGGGCCTTATTCGCTCCCCTCATCTTTCCTGCCTTCTTCTTCTTGGACATTCGGCACTTCTCATTGGGAGCTTGAGGATCACGATTGATCATGAATAGTTTGGGTTCATTCTCCAGCACCTGCCACTCCTGTCCAAATTTATTAGGGTCATCCAAAATGGTTTTGCCATCTCTGGCCAAAGATTTACCAGTAGCAAAGTCTCCCATCATACCCTTGCTGTTGTACAAGTGGTTCATGTGGACATGGATGTTGACAAAGTCTTTGAAAGTTGACAGGGTAATGTTGCTGTGATCATTCACTTCCACAACAAAGGAATGTTTCTTGTCATTGATCATGGTGTAATGGACAGGACAGCCACCAAGAGTGGGCAATTCACTATCATCAGGCTTCATCATCCTGTTGGGCCTCAGCAAATTTGGCCTCATTGCTCCATCAACTCCATTGAGAGCATACTCCCCCCAGCCAGAGACTTCCAGAATGTCATTGCCAATGCGAAGAGCTGCAGTCTGTATGTAGCTATAAAAGTATCGGATAGTGGTCCGAACATGAATGTCAAAGTCCATGACTTGGTCATGATTCGACAGTAAAACAAGGTCACATTCCCCATTATAGTCAAACCAACTGCCATCAAATTTCTGTGAATTTTCAAGAAGGGCAAGGATGAGACATGTGCAACAAGAAAACCAATGGAAGGAAGACAACAAAACAAACCTACCTGAACATGGGGATCCATTGTCATGCCTCCATCATGGCCACCTCCACCTCCCGTACCACCATCTCCTCCACCTCCCATACCACCATCTCCTCCATCTCCATCTCCCGTACCACCATCTCCTCCATTTCCATCTCCATCTCCCATACCGCCATCTCCTCCATTTCCATCTCCTCCATCTCCATCTCCTCCATCTCCATCTACCGTACCACCATCTCCTCCATCCCCTCCATTTCCATCTCCTCCATCTCCATCTCCTCCATCTCCCATACCACCATCTCCTCCATCTCCATCTCCTCCATCTCCATCTCCCGTACCACCATCTCCCTCCATCTCCATCTCCTGTACCACCATCTCCTCCATCTCCCGTACCACCATCGCCTCCGTTGCTGTCCAAGACACATGATTCACTGCCAGGATCTGAGACAAACCCATCATCGCAGATGGTACACGAGGTAGCTCCCCCTGTAGAGAAACTGTTGGCTGGACACTGCTGGCAGCTCCCCGAACCTGCAATAGCTGAAAATGTCCCAGCATCACAGGATGTGCAAGATATATCACCCTCATTGGAATATTCCCCCGCAGGACACTGTTCACAAGTCTGGGACCCATATTCAGCAGTAGCAGAGCCGGGCTCACAAGGGGTACAAATGGGATTGCGCGAATTTGGAGCAAAACTTCCTGGACCACAAATAGAGCAATCGGTGGCTTCTTCATTGGAAAATCGACCAGGACCGCAGTCCTCACAGGCATTAGAGTTTGGAGGAGCAAAAGTGCCAGCCACACAAGCCTGGCATACATTACTTCCTGCTGGGGCAATGAATCCAGGATCACAGTCAGAACACATCTCAGCTCCAAAATCTTGTGAAAATGTCCCAGCGGGACACTGTTCACAGGCCTGGGACCCATATTCAGCAGTAGCAGAGCCAGGGTCGCACAGGGTACACTCGAGACTGCTCGAATTTGGAGCAAAACTTCCTGGACCACAAGCAGTGCATTCAGTGGCTGCTTCATTGGAAAATCGACCAGGACCACAGTCCATGCAGGCATTAGAGTTTGGAGGAGCAAAAGTACCAGCCACACAAGCCCGGCATGCACTGCTTCGTACGGGGGCAACAGAGCCAGGATCGCAGTCAGAACACATATCAGCTCCAAAATCTTGTGAAAATGTCCCAGCGGGGCACTGTTCACAGGCCTGGGACCCATATTCAGCAGTAGCAGAGCCAGGGTCGCACAGGGTACACTCAGGACTGTGTGGATGTAGAGCATAACTTCCTGGACTGCAAGGAGTGCATTCGGTGGCTTCATCATCGGAAAATTCACCAGGATCACAGTCCACACAAGAATCTGAGTTAGGAATAGCAAAAGTGCCAGCCACACAAGGCCGGCATGCACTGCTTCGTACGGGGGCAACGGATCCAGGATCGCAGTCAGAACACATCTCAGCTCCAAAATCTTGTGAAAATGTCCCTTCAGAACAAAACTGACAGGTCTGGGATCCAGATTCAGCAGTAGCAGAACCAGGCTGACAGAGGGAACACACTGAACTGCCTGATATTGGAGCAAAACTTCCTGGACTACAGGGAGTGCATTCGGTGGCTTCATCATTGGAAAATTGACCAGGACGACATTCAACACATGTATCAGAGTTTGGAGGAGCAAACGTGCCAGCAGAGCAAGCCTCACAGGCATGGCTGCCTACTGAGGCAACGAATCCAGGATCACAGGTAGTACAGACAGAGTCATCGGGACCAGCGGCGTTGTCGGGTTGAAAGGTTCCGACGGGACAGGACTGACACCCAGCAGATGATCCATCGCTATAGTTTCCACGGCCACAAGGGGAGCAATCCTCTGGGTTTCCAGTGCTGCTGTACTCTCCGACACCACACACTGCAGTCTCAGCCAGAGCGGTAGCCATGAGCAAGAAGAGGACGGTAAGAAACATGCTCTTCATCGTGGTGAGTTTTTTCGCTTGGATGGTTATAGTCTTGCTTTGTTGGAGCGACAAAGGTTATAATCGGAAGAAGAGAAGAGGAATTTTATGAGTGGCAGAGTGGATGAGTGGCGCCACAAACTGAAGTGGATCGAGGTCTCGTGCGTCTACGGTAGTCTAGCCTGTTGGTTTCCATCCAAGCATGTTTCGTGGAGAACCCGTTCTCGATCGAGAGTAATTTCGACCTGGAGGAGAGCGGACAGTCAAGATGTACCCTGTACCGATTTGAGATGAGAAAGGCTTGAACTCATTGCTAGATTCCTATATGTAGTTCATCGATAGGTCTTAAGTACGATTGGTTCACTCCTGCCGCTTGCATCAATCGTTTGTATTTGCTTTACTCTGCCTATAGTACAGGCAGGTCCCTGGACAGGAAAGCTATCCCACCAGTCTACATACATGTGCTAGGATCGAAAGCTGGCTTCGATCCGCTAGCTAGCTACTATACATGTAGTTCCGGCACTGCTACATTTTACGAGCTAGCCAAATCTTCAGCTAAGGCTGAGCAGAGCAGAACAGTGCAAAGCAAAGGACACCAATTCTAAGGCTGCGCAACATCTGAAGATTGAATTGAATCATTCAAAAGCAACGGAAACAATCGTAGATGTGCATGCATGGGGCTGTGGAGAATGGAGCGTCCTTGGAATGATTGAACACGACTTCTAAAGGACTACCGTAAAAGCGTAACGGTATCGGTAGATGCCAATGGTTCCGGGATATCCAAGAGGATCCACGGTGTGGTGTCGGAAGAGAGTCAGACAATGAAGCTGTTTTGTCACAACTCAATATTGATTGCCCTAATGAATCTTTCTAGTTCACCACGTCAGCTACGTCAGCAATGACTTATTTAAGGCCTGTTGTCAACGTCATCCAATCAAACTTATTGCCCCTTCCTTGATGCCAACATCTTGTAATTATTATATTTTGATCCATTCCCGATCGAAAGCTTTCTCATTCAAAGACTCGACGTCTTATTTACAACTCCCAGACTTCACCATGGACATGGTTGCGTTAGCCCTGTCGGGTGACACTGCTGTTGCCGGGAAATCCACGCATACTTCGATTACGGCAGACGATGAGGAGGAGGACTCTTCCGATTCGGAATACGACGAAGACTTGACGAATTCCAACAAAGACAACAATGACGAGGACGATAGCAGCAGCAGCGATGGATCCAGCAGTAGTAGTGGGAGCAGTGGCGGATACGCGACGACGGACAGTGAAAGCTGCTGCAGTGGCTACATGGACGCCATTAGTCGAGAGATGGAAGAGATGAATCGCAGTCGTCGAGACTCGATAAGACAGAGTCTTCGGCGATCATCGTTGAGTGCTTTGGATACTCTCAAAGGAATGGATGCTCCGAGTACCGGTACGACAAACAACAAACGAGAAGATTTAAAGTGCCAAAATTTAATGCAGCAAGCGCAAGATCGATCCCAGCGATTTCTTTTACACCGCATGAGCAGCACCAAGGCCACGTCCTACGTGCAGGACAAACCCAGCACCAATGCCAACATCCCCCAGATTCCGCCCTTTGCCGGCAACGGCGCAACTACCGTCGTCCACAATAGTAACAATGACACTGGTAATGAAAGCAGCAACGATGCCACCATTATCCGCCGACGATCCACGGGAGATTTGTTGGACGAAAGCAGTAAACAGAATCCGCAGAGTCCACAAGAATGCCTGCAAGAGTTGCTCCGGGGCGTCAGTAGTCCCGTGGAATTCCTCACAACCGAGTATTGGGACAAACAGTACTTTTGCGCCATTACGCCCGCTCGGATGCAACGCTATCATGCCAAGGTTGCCCGGGCCGTGCGAGGACAAGATATCGAGACGTTACGCACCATTGTGAAAGGCAACGCGAGTCCAAACATTTTGGATGCCTGCAACTCCCAAGGAGAATCGCTCGTCCATTTGGCATGTCGACGACGCAACACCGACTTGCTCAAATTCTTGGTCCATGAAGCGGGTGTGTCGGTCCGCGTCCGAGATGATTGGGGCAAGAGTCCCCTTCACGAACAATGTTGGAATGGACGTCCCAGTTTTAGCAAGGGCAAACTACTCAGTAACCAGGCAGAAGCTACTACCGGTGCGCTTCCAACATCACCCTATTACTACTATCATCCTACGAATCCAGAGAGCAATTCCTACTTTGATGCCGTCAAACTCCTTATTGATCTGGCACCGGAATTGCTCTTTGCACGAGACCGACGGGGCTTTGTACCCTTTCAGTACATTCCCAAAGATTCCTGGCCCGAATGGAATACCTTTCTGGCGCAGCATCGCGTATGGATACGATGCAAAGTACAGTTCATTGGATATGCCCGCAGTCGCGACAAACTCAAAAAGACACTCGAGTTGGCCGAAGCGACCTTGAAGGGGATCTCACGAAGTGCTAATACTAGTCCTACTGGTACTGGACCTACCGCCATGACGCAATAGGCATTGACAAGCAAGCTACGTACTCCGCCATTGCCTCTTCACGGCAGAGAAACCACACATCATTCAGAAATCTAGACGAGACACGAACCAATGCCTAGCCTAAACAACAGTCACCACTACAGCTACCAATAACTGTAGTAGACTGATTGCTATTAATAACTTTCACTCAAACTATTGTGTTTGGCGGTACTACTCTTTTATGGTGCATCTGATGTTGCTATAGTTTAGTCTCAATCTGTTTCTGGCTGGTTGACTCTTCTTTGGTTGTTTCTTTTTGAGAATGCATGTTGCGGTAGCTAGCTACACTCTGGTTCCTTTGCCTTGCTTGTTATGCTCGGCACTCATGGTCGCCTTTACCGCCGCAACAGCCGATGCCGAGGCAATGGCTGCCACGAGATTGATATCCACATCATCATGGGCCAGGCTGGACTGTTCCGCCTGCTGCTGCAAAAAGACTGCCTCGACCGCAGCCGCCGCAGCATTGGCGGCAATCGCACAGACATGTTCTAACTTGTTATTGTTGTGCTTGTCATTCTTTTTCACGGCTGTGGTTCGACTCTTTTGCTTGGACGACGAGTGGTCCTTGGTCTTGGTGGTCTTCTTGGTGTCTTTGGTCTTCTTGGTGTCTTTGGTGGTTTTGCGTTCTTTCTTGGTCTTGGCGGTCGCTCGGCTGCTATTGGGGCTGCTATATCGAGGAGGACTCTTCTTGTGTGCCGTTTCTTCTTCGTCCCGCAACATATCGAGAGAGTAGTTGGGGTGGTTCTTGGACTTGGTCTTGGCCTCCTTGCGAACTTGACGCTGGAATTCCTCGTGGCGAGCTTGACGTTGGAACTCCGCGGTACTAGTACGAGCACTCTTGGCATCCATACTAACGATGGAATGACGGTGCAGATTCTTGGCACTTTTTCCTCGTGCCAATAGCTGACGCTTGGATTTGTTGTTGTTGGTGCGGTTGGAGGACGACGAGAAGTTTCCCAGATCGGTGGGGACACTATGGCTTTTGCTCATGCGAGGCCTTTGCTGTTGTCGTTGTTGCGACGCGAGGATGGGGCACGATACGGTACTAACGCGGTGGCAACTGTCCTCATCGCTGTCCTTGTTAGTCTCGGAGCTGTGACGGCGATCCTCTGCTCCCGTGACAGCAGCAGTGGTAGTAATGCTGCCCCTTGGGTGCGTTTGTGTTTGTGTTTGCGTTGGTCGTCGTCGTCTTGGTTTGAGACTGAGCAAATCGTCAGTGAGAGCGAATGGAGGAAAGGCGTCAAACTCAAAGTCCGATGGTTCCCTGTCAAGTTTTGCCTCTGTGACGCTTCGGGGTGACCTTGTGCCACGCTGAACGGGAGGAGCCATGATGATGTATGTATGTGTTTCTGTTCTCTATACCTGTAGCTAAGCAAGCAACTTGACTGTTAGTTGATTGTTTTTGTGACGCGGTTGGGCTTGTGTGAGCCTTGGGAGCTGTGTGAGGTTTGGAATTGAATAGTGGTAGGTTGAAACATGACATTGGTCTTCCTCCAAGCTCCTAGCTAGAACCTACCGGTAATGGAACCGATTGCCTTCAGCTAAAAGAAGGCCGTGGATCTTCACTGTTGCTCCATTCCACGATGCATTCATGCTTGTTCCGATGACATCATCTACAGTGGAAAAATGGCTCAAAGGATTAATGATTAACGTCTGTTAATGCTTTCTACTGCCAACAACACCATCCAATTCAGAACATGCAACCACAACACAAACAAGACGAGTCGAGTCTCGGTCTTCTATCGATCATTGCTGAGAAAGAAGAATGAGGCTGATGGCTGTCTCTCGAGACCTCCCAGCTGCACTTCTTCTTCTTCTAGTAGTTCTGATTGGATTGTCATCATCAGTGTCAGCATTGAATGGCAATGGCACTACTATAGATAGAGACTTTGCAACTTTCCACGATGTTCCCTTTGCGCTGTCGACGGCGTTGATGGGCGTGGACGACCACGACGATAGTGGCAGTCGTCGGCAAGACTTGTGCAGTCGCTACGAAGCGTATCGTCATGGCAATGTCACCTTACGCCACGCTCTACGGCAGATGCAACTGCATGTCTTGATGCCCGAACGAGGCGATCGCTTCTTTCGCTACTCCAACACCACGGGCATTGCACAGTCTTACCCGGGCTTGACGGCCGATTTGATGGACCGATTGGCCATACGAGCCGGATTTACATGGCGCCAATCGTTTGGGACATTGCCACAAGTTCCCACCTATTACAATTTGACGTACACGGAAATGCTATGGTGGGCCGTCAATACGTACGATATCGCGGTAGGCCGATACGATCGGTCGTTGGAACGCATGGAATTGGGGATCTCGTATATGGAACCCTTTTTTGATGGATCCATTATTCTCTTGGATAAAATAGAAGCAACGGTGGGACTGGCACAATTGGCACAAGAGCGCGTCTATTTGGGCAACTGGCTGCGACCCTTTACACCCGACGTCTGGGCACTGACATTGGTCACCATTGTGGTTTCGGCACTCATCTATCAGTTTATCGAATTCATCAATGGAGAACGACAAGCCCGATCCATGGGGCAGTGGATTATGGACAATCTATATCTCAGTGTACTCAGTGCGGCACAGAACTTTGAATATGCTCCCTCCACTGCAGCTGGAAGAATATTTGCTGTATCCATGACCTTTTGGAGTCTGGTCATGGTATGTACCATTCAAGTTGAGACAATGCTGCCTGCAAGGTATCTTCACTTGTTCTTATTCCTTTTTTGTTTGTTTTGTGTATATACTATGTAGACGGCAACCTACACGGCCAATCTCGCATCTCTCTTTGTCGATGAAAACAAACCCGTTACGTCAATTTCCACCATGGAAGAAGCTGCCGCATTGCAAATTCCAATTTGCGTTCTGAGGGATACCAACATGGATATTCTCATTAAGCAACGATATCAAGGCGTCAATCGAATCCCAAAACTGTACGAATTGGAAATGTACCAGGCATTGAATAATGGAGAATGTCAGCTACTGGCAGAAGCCAGAAGTAGTTGGGAGGAACTACAACATCGAAAGGCATACAATCCAGGTGAGTAATGATATGTATATGTATAGTATGCATCTTTGCTGCTCCATCTCACCATCATATACGGCATACTTACTTTTTCATGCATGGATACCAGACTGCGATTTGAAATGGGTCGGACGAACGGTACAAGGAGTCAAATCGGGATTTGCCGTCAAGGCAGATGTAGGATACAAATGCACCAGTCTTATACGAGATGTTTTCAATCTACACATTCATGAAATGGAACGCAATGGCGAACTGGATGATGTATGGAAAATGCATGAATCGCAAATTAAGGACGCCAATTGCAATGATGCCCTGGATTTCGTGCACAAACAAGAAGACTATACCGGCACGGACGATCGACAGCGACAACGACAATTAGGGGGGTATGATTCTTACTGGAACAGTGACAACGACAAAAAGAAGAAGAAGTCACAACAATCCAGCCGGCGCAAATTAGAAGGTGGTGCTGCGGGTTCTTTTGGAGGCAAAAATGGAGGAAATGACGAGAATACCAATTCACTGACGCTACGGCAAATGGCTGGTACGTTTGTCTTTCACTATGGCATGATGTTTTTGGCCATGGTCACCTGTGTGGCCGCTCCGTTTTGGCGGAAATTGGAAAAATCCCTTGGGTGGGCGCAGCCAGAACAGGTCATTGTACGATCTCATGGACCGATGGTGGGATCGCCGCCCAAACGGACGTCGAGCATTAATGGTGAAAACCGGAAAAGTTGGGGCATCAACACGTACGTCATGCCGCAAGAATTGGCTCCCTTGGACGAGCAGAGTTTGAGCAATCCTAATTGCGCGGAAAAAAGAAAGGGTGATCTCGACAATTTACAAAAGCAATTGACGGCGGATTTGCAAGCACAAAGAGAACACACGGAACGAAAGTTGGACGATCACATGGGCATGGTCGTCATGGTTCTCAACGAAGTGAGAAAGCAGAACAGGCAACTGCAAAATCAGGTCCAGGTCGTCGCCAGACAAAACGTTCAACTCCAGGACCAGTTGGAGGACTTGAAAAGGACCAACAACAGCACACAATCAAACAGTTTGTTGCAGCCAGACATCATGGCAGGTGACACGAAGGCAACAACGAGTCTGGCAACCAAGAGCAGAAAACAGAGCATTCAACTGCAGGATCTGTCAGAGGACATAGCACGAGACAACAAACAAAGGCAAAGTCGAGTACGTGTGTCAGAGCAAAAGAAGCCATCTACGAATCTGACGAGAAGAAATCAGAGCAGTCAACTACAGAATCAGTCGGAGGCACTAATCAAAGACGGCCGAGTTCATGACACGTCAGAGCAAAAGAAGGCGTCCAGAAAACAACAACCAGTCGCACTGTCATCGGCAGCCCAGCAGCAGCAGCATAACGGTTACGTTCCTTCCAAGCACATCATCGATTTTCTACGTCGACACCAGTTGGAATTCGAGCAAGAACTGGCATGAGTTGAATTGGTGGACATGCTAAACGGCATACCAAGAAAGGCACCACGAGAGCCCGGAGCTGCACAAGATGCTGATTCAGTCCCGACGGAACTTGGAAGGCTCTGCAGGAACACAACAGAGTGAGTTCGAAGGCCAACGCGAAAGGTGGGAAGAGCCGAACATGCATGGCAATTCAATGCCTGGCTAGGAACCGGGGTACATCCATCCGCGAGCAAGGATTAGGCATCCAAGTAGCTACACACTGCTATATAGCATGGGAAGGTTTCGATTGAGCATCTATGAATCATTTAGCGTACTAGAAGAGAGGGACAACACTTCCACCCCGTCTTCATTTGTGGGATATTGCAGGGCGGGCTCACTGATTCCATACATCCTCCGAAAATTGGTCCCACGTATCAACACGAGACGTGGTTTGGGGTGTTGCACTACTTGGCGTTGCCTTTGATAAGAGTCGCTTGAGCCTTTGGTTTTCTTTCGTCAAGGCTGCGTTTTCCCACGTCAGTTTCTCAATGAGGGCGTTCCGCTCCAGCTCCTGCACGATGGACGAACTGGTTGACCCTTCACCTTGACCTTGGAGAGAGAAGGAGGATAGAGATATCCCTTGTCCTTGGAGAGGTAAGGAGGACAGAGCCGCAGCCGCAGAAGCAGCGGCTGTTGCTGCCGCGGATAACGCAGCTGCCAACGCCGCCGTGGAGTTGTCCCCTTGGCCGTGTGTACTCGTCGTCGTCGTGCTGATGGTGGAGGCGGACGATAAGCTGTCGAGGTGCGGCTGTGCTGCCAACAGGGCTGCCACCGACGCAGATGCTGCTTGCTGTGCTGCTTTGGTCAAAGAGTGGGGTTCATCCTGGGACACCTGGGTGCTCGTTGCCACTTCAATTATTTGTCTGCTGCAATGCTCGGTTGTGATGCTGGGCAGTGTGGAGTCGACTGTGGGAGCCGTTATCACCGACTCGTGCGAAGCTTGTTTTGGGTATCGTCGTTGGGCTTCCAAAAAGCTCAAGCTGGGAGTCCAGCCGTGTTGCTTCTTAGCAGGATTGGATTGGGGTGCTTTGCCTTTTCCTGTGTGTCTGTCTCTTTGAGCCGACATGCCCTTTGGGCTTTTTGGGCCTACGGTAGACGCTTGGTTGCTTGGTGGTTCGGAGACCACAATGGCTTCCGTACTCTCTTTGGCGTCGTTCTTGGATTCTAGAGCACTTAAACTAGCCCTTCTGCTTGGGCGTCGTTGGAGATATCGGCCATTTTGTAGTTCTCTCCTGCCTCTGCTTTCTTTGTTTCTGGCCCGGGCTTCTTTGTTTCTGGCCCCAGGTTCTTTCTTGCGTGCCCCAACTTTTTGGTCAGCGGCTCTCCCACCGCGCTGTACTCTCTGACCGGGAACCCGTTGTTGGCTTTGCCTGGTAATATCCAAACTGCCTGGCGGTGGCGATGATCTTCCGCTTATGCACGGGGTGCTTCCTCGCCTTGCCATATGATTTTGAATCTGCGACTGCTGCCTGGTTACTGGTAAGGAGCTAGCGCTGGAGCCTAGCCTGTGATTGACATCATGGCGAGTCTTCCTGGGGCGGCTGTCACTATTATGGAGGGGCCCTTTCTTACTTGGTTTTGTGCTCCTTTTTAGTTTCTCTTGCTGACTCCTTTGCTGACTCCTTTTTGCATGATGGTTGGTTCTGGAAACCTCTGCTCGATGGGTGTGAGCTCTCTTCGTCCTAATGTGCTTTACCTCGCTCTCTTGAGAAAACGTGCTCATGCTTTCGTTGAAATCATCCGAGCATGAATCGTTGTTGCTGTCGCCAGACTCATCGCTGCAGGAATCAGCGCAATCACCGAGCATGCTATCGCGTTTCTGAGTCCTCCACAGTGCGGAGGATCCCACGGATACATTGAGTGGAAGCCTCGCAGGTCTCGCAGATCCCTTCTCCTCTGAGTTGATGTCTACTTCATAGGGAAACATGGTGGGCCAATTTGCTTGGGGTAACGGGGCGAAATCAATGTATCTCAAGCAAGGGCCTTCGTCCGATGAAGAGGAAGAATCGTCCTCATCTGCCCCAGATACTGGGGCCAGCTTCTTTCCGTTTTCCGCTCCCATTGCCTTTCTTGCGTGCATGCAACAGGTGTGCTGTGTCCTTTATTGTTGTGGCTGTGTGCCGAATGAACTCACAGGCAAGATCTGCTGCTCCAAGGCTCCAAGCTACCGATTGCTACTGGTACCAGTGAGCGCACGTCCCAGCCAAAAAGTGAGGGTTCGTGTATTCGTAACCACGACACAGAATGATACTGGGACACTAGGACGGCCGCCTAAACTGACCAGGTCGAACTCCAAGACTCGACGGCAGTAGAATTTATAACAAGCGGTGCCTTCAGAAACCAGCCATTTTGGAAAGTTCAAGCTTTGCCTAAGAGTTGGTTCGTCCTGAGAATCACCTGTTCGCCTTGATCTCTGTTCATTCGATTCTTGATGCCACAGTGCACGGTGGAAATACATGTACATAGTTGGTTGGCATTGTTTTGCAGCCCTGGTTGGTAGTACTATCCGGATACAGATGGGAATACGTCTTGAACTAAAGCGTTCCTTTGGTGACACCTCCAACTAGCTCGGTTCAAGTGCTGTGGCCACCTTCACCTCTGGCCAAACAGCCAATCACCGTCATTCAACCGCGAGATCCAGAGGGGGTAGCTACCGTAGCTAGCTAGATGCTTTGCACTGCTGCCTATCGCAAACCCCTCCAACTGAGTGGCATTTCTCACAGCTTGAATCCCTACTCTAGTGCAACACATTCCTAAACCCCAATCAAACTTCCCTAGCTAAACTTTTTTTGCCGGCCCTGCGGAGTCCCTCGTCTGATGCCCCCACCATCCCTAATCCCTCGAAGATATGGGAGGATCTGATGAGTGAGTGTACTGTGAGTGGTCGTTGGAACAAGCTAAACACCCACACCTGCTGGAGAACAGTCAGACTCGGAAGGCGATCTCTAACTTTAGAAATCATTGAAGGAAATAGTGCACTTGAAGGTCATGCTCACAAGCTCACGCAGCCCTTCGGGCTTTGGATGTGAGGGAGCCTAAACCATCAGAGCTGGTCCAGTAACGATGGTTGCGCGTGACTTTACTCATCGGCATCCATCAAATTCTCACCACAACAATACCAAAGTTAGTTGATCTTTTGGGAAGAGTCTATTCTGAGGCAATCGCTTTTGATATTGATCTATCAAAGGGGGGCCATACTGGCATTATTTTGTACTGTACCGAGATTGGATCTCCTCATTCAGCATTGATGACACTTGGACTGGAACGCCAATCATTCAATTATTCAATGATAGAGTCACGGCCTTTACTAGCTTCCGTTTGGACACTTGAATAAAAACCATGCCAGTAGATTGTTTGGTATACTATTCATCCATCATGATGCATCCCAAGAACCACTATTCAATCTATCTACCAATTGACTGGCAAAGGTTCGATTGTCATATTGTTGTCTTGGTTTGCCCCGTTCTTCGCTCGTTGTTTGAACGAGTTGCACCGTGGGAGCGACTTTTCTTAAAAAGAAAAAGTTGGGTTCTTGAATGATTTCATCGAGCCGGTGGGAGTGCAACTCTTGGTAGAGACAGGGAGATCCTTTTTGACACGGATTCTTGGCAAATTGAGGAGCATGCAGGACGGGTGGTTCTGGTGTCTTTTGATCTCTCCACAAGACATAGTGGGGACAGCACGTGCGCCAGGATGATGATGTGTTGTTTTGGACGGAATGACACTGCTCCAACGACGAGGGTCCCAATTGGTTGTTGAGAAAGGACGGAATGAGAATTTCATCGGGAGCCCCTCTTTGAGATTGTCCTTGCAATTGGTGTAACCATTTTCGCAGTGTGTCCAAGTTTTGGAGCAGTAATTGGACATGAGATCGATGAAGGACGGACCATAGTTCAGCCTTGATTGGATGTTGGGTGGTCCAGTATGGTTTTAGAAAGGACCAAGTCCTATTTGCCTTTTGAGGGGGTACAGTACAGAATCGTGATGTGGGTGGTTGTTGTCCTTTCAGTTTGGCTTGTTGGATGATGAGAGTGTTGTGTAGGTAATCTAGAGTCTTGATTGGAATGGAATTATCCGAGACAAATGCAAATTGGAGGTTGCTTTGATCACTCCAGTAAGCATACATCAAGAGTTGCATCATGCCATCTACCAGGTTGGCCATGTGCTGAGAAGGAACAGATGGAATCACTCGAGAAGCAAAGAACGGATCTCTCGTATGGAGTTCCTTTGTCTGCTTGGTATGAATGTAGATGGAAATCTTGGAAGAATAGTTACTGCCAGTACTGGTACCACTATTAGTAACTGTACCGGTACTGGCTTCTAGCCATTGTTTCCATAAGCCTTCGTGTTGAATCTCATCGTTCACTAGAAACAGCAAAGCCACTTTGCCCTCTTTACCCTCTTTGTTATGTGTGCTGTTGGTACCAGTCCTGTTGTTGGTATCTATACCGGTACCGGTACCGGTATCTATACCGTGGATCTCTTGGTCAACCAAGTGTAAGGAGGGCGAAACCTTGTCGAGAATTTCCCAGTCCCTACGAAACAAAAGCCCCATTGTGAATCCAACCAACACACTCAAGGCATGCCGACGTCCCCTTGTCAGTATCATCTCTTACACCAACACGTATTATATATATATAGATCCTGCGGCTATGATACAATTAATTGAGCATGTGCACTGCTGCTATTCTGGCACTTGGGCATTTGTGGTTAATAAATAAATAAATAAATAAATAAATAACTATGGTTTGTTTCGCGTTGAGTTTCGCAGGCACCCTTATAGAAGCCATCAGAGCGGAATGACACTACTAGTTAGTATCAGCCAAGCCACGAGTCGAGTCGAGTCCACTTTGGATGATTCCCAATGAATGATTTGGAGAGTGGACCCAAACAAACAAACTGTTCAGGCCAAGCAATGGTAACCATGGACTCTCAAGCTCATATATTATAGCGTTGCTTGTCAAAGAAGAAGGAGAAGAATATTAGAGGAATGATGAGAGGAGAGAAGGAGGCTTGTGTTCTGGATATCATGGCCACTGGCATGGCTGGTGACCTTGCTGGATGCGGCCATGTCCTCTGGGGCTTTCTGCTTGTGCTGTGCAGGTAGGTCTTTGCGTCTGTCTGTTTGGTCTGCCTGGCAGTGATGTGATGTGACTGACCGAATGAATGAAAGAATGATTACTACCATACTGCTAACTAAGCCTGTGGTACCGTACGGCTGTTGAGCATTCGTTGTGTAGCTAGTAATGTTTCTCTAATAGTAGTAGTAAGTGTTACAAATGGTTTTACCTGCGTCCTCTCGCTGTTTGCTGGATGTAGCTAGCCAGCTAAGCGCTCTTGCTAACGAACAATCGATTGGGCAGTGACGGAATGGCAGGAGCCGCACCTGCATTGAGGAATAGAAATGGCTGATCACTGCTATTCTTTCGTCGCACGGCCTTGAGTGGGTTATCCTTGAGGGACCGTAGTGCCTTGCGATTGTTCTTGACGAGTTGTTCGGGGGAATGGGAGCGACACGGCAGGACGGGGGGATCCTGCGTCTTGCGAGGAGGTTGTGGGGGTGCTGGTTTTCGTGGCAACACACTCGTACATGGCATTGTAGTTCTACCAGTACATGTACTGGTGGTATCATTCGTACATGTACCGGTATCACCCCATCGATTGATGGTGACATGACACGTCTGATCGAGGTCGGAATCGACGGGTTGCTCTTCGCGTTCTACAGATGCCACGTACTTGTCGCTCGTCGTGCTCCTACTAGTACTCGTAGTACATGCCGTAACGTTGGAAGTGATCAAGGTGCTCGTGCTCGAATCATAGCCGAAACTGTCGCCAAGTGTACTACTGCTACCACCGCCCACACTTTCATCCCACCAAAAGAGCTCTTCTTCGTCATCGTCGTCGTCGTCGTCGTCATCGTCAAAGCTGTTGACGCTATCGTGGAAAAACTCGGGAGCCTCATTGTGATTCCCATTGCAGTCATTGCCTGTGCAGGGTCGTAAGTGGGGTAGCAGAGGCGAATGCGATCTAGCATTGTCATTCACAAAAATATAGGTAGTGCCATGGCTACCAGCGATGCTGTTGCTCTCGTCGGTGGTGCTCATGGTGGTAATGTTCTCAATCTGAAAATGTTCCTCCAGGAAATACTGAATCTGACTGGGCATGGTAGCTAGTACAATAGCTACTGTCACGCGGTACAAAGCTATTAATAGTAGAGTGAGAATTTATGAGAGTTTCCAAGCGATGGTGGCCAAAGGCGCGGGTAGGAACTGGCCCACTGGCACAACAGCATACGAATACCAGTAAAAGGAACGATGGTAACAATTCACTGTTTCCGTTCATCCATCACTTTTAAATCTCATTTGCCCTGGTTTGATGTCCAGACACAAGCATCCGATCTCTCTACTCTAATATTCACAGTTATTTCTCCAGTGTCCGTCAATGCAGGCATCCATGAACTGTAGTCATGGTTTTTTTGGGAACAGGGAGAATAAACCTTATAGTCTTCTTGTAAAAGCTGGCTTTAATAACAAACCTGTGCTGCCAGTCTAGCGTGCTGGTGTTGCGTGACAGCTTGTATGACACTGTGTGGTCTTAAAAACTTCTAAAACCAACTGGAGTGTTAATAGTAAACAGTACTGCACGAGAAGTACGGTACTTTTAAAAGTACCGGAACCATGGTACCGGAAGGTAGTAGGTACCGTTCCACTGGAGTAGACCTACCTTTGCTATGATGGTTGAACGGCTGAATTGGGTGGCATAATTGAGAAGAAGGCTATGTCTCCGTACTGGTACTAGCTAGCTAGCTACAGTAATTGATTCATTTACAATTTACAATGTATGTCATCATTCGTACTCGTAGTCCTAAACCCTAAACAGAAACTTACTCGGAGGAGTAGTGACTTCTTTCTCTCTGCAAAGACCTGCCACCGTACTGGAAGAAGCTTTTACAACATTCTTGATGACCCAATATGATTTATGAAGCCGGTTTTTGTTGGCCTGACTCGACTCCTGATCAGAAGTCAGTTTCTGATACTTACTGACCTACCGGTACAGTGAGATGTGGATGAGCTTGTGGATGACACCAGCCAACTGCCAATCCATAACAACATTCTTCCACACAGATCTCCCAAGAAAGCTCTTGGCTTGGGGAGGCCTGTTTCAGAAGAAAAATCCCGCACTCAGCAAGCAGACGCCTAAGAAAAAGTCCGAAGCGACCTAAGCCAAGCAATCCGTTGATAGCTACCGGTATCAGAGAAGCTATCAGTACTGTAGCTATCAATTGTTGAGCAAGGAGTGCAGAGCCAATGTTTTAATTCTTGTGTTTCATCATTTTACTAGCTACCGGTAGCTAGTAGCCGGCTCAAGTGGCCCCCTCAAGCGCCACTGCCCAAGGAACTCTTACTCTGGCTAGCGAGTGTACCGGTAGCAAGCACGTTGCTAGAACTCTTGCCGTACTCGGTACTGGTACTCTGTCCCAAGTCCCAAGTCCCAAGCAGCTTCCAAAAAGCTCTCCTATTTAAAAAAAGAAGGTTCAATCAAGGACAGAAATCAATCAGAACAGTGCTAGCTAGCTATAGTGGTCTGATGGAAGTCTTGGCTAGGAGGAGTAGACAGGCAGTACCGGTACCGGGGTACCTCACCACGAAGACAGAGGACCGATTAGTCATGTTTACTATAGCAAATACAGTACTATAACCGTATTCCATCGAAGAAAGATCAGATCGACTGGATTCTGCCTACCTGTACGTACCCGTAAATTGATTAGTTGAAGGGCCTCCAGAGGGGAGAAGAGGAGGTTAAGCTAGGCTGAACAAAGGCATCTAGTTTCACATGTTTCTTTGAGTTATGGTACCCGTAAAAGTGAACAGTTGAAGGGGCTCCAGAGTGGAGAAGGAGGAGGTTTATGCTAGTCTGGACAAAGGCTTCTAGTTGCACATGTTTGTTTGAGTTGTGGTACCCGTAAAAGCGATTAGTTGAAGGGGATCAAGAGGGGAGAAGGAGAGGTTAAGCTAGTCTGGGCAAGTGCGTCTAGTTGCACATGTCTTTTGAGTTGTGGTACCCGTAAAAGTGATTAGTTGAAGGGGCTCCAGAGGGGAGAAGGAGTGAGGGTTAAGCTAGTCTGGACAAAGGCATCTAGTTGCACATGTTTTGAGTTGTGGTACCCGTAAAAGTCACCAGTCAAAGGGGCTCCAGAGGGGATTATGTATGTACAAGTACATGTGGGTACGGTATGTACCCTTTCGAAATAGCTTAAAAGCAAGGTAGTAAGCAAAATACGTTATCTTAACAATAGGTGTGCCGCGATTCGTCATGCCCGTGTGCGCGCCGAATGACGTCATTCGCGCCTTGTGCGCACCTCTACGGCACATCCTACCGCACGTACGTATGTAGCGTGCCGTAGACGTGCGGTAGCCGTGTAGGATTTGTACCGCACGCTACAGAGGTAG